TTTCCTCTTCTCACTGCTTTGGTGGAGTTTAACTCTTTTTAATATCACCACCTTCGCCGCTACCCCCATTGCCAAACCCGGTTGTGAAACTAGTTGTGGGAACCTAACGGTTCATTACCCGTTTGGTATCGGCCTGGATGGGACGTGTTCTCTTAGTAGGTTTTACGTCATAAATTGCAATAGAACTTATGACCCTCCAAAGCCCTTCTTGGCCAAGGGTAACCTTGAGGTCGTGGACATATCCGTCACCGGCCAAATACGTGTTAAGAGCGATGTGGCACGTACATATTATGAAGATGGAAAAGTAGTAGAATCAAAATCTGTGTATACATCACAGACAAACCTCTACAAATTTCCAGTTGTGTTTAACGACACGGAAAACAAAGTCGTTGTTATTGGTTGTGATGATTATGGTTTGATTAATGGCACCCTGGGACGTTACTTCTCAAGTGGGTGCATTGTGGGGTGTTCCAAGCCAGTAGATGTAATAAATGGGTCGTGTTCAGGGATAGGTTGCTGCCAAACATCCATCCCAAAGGGGTTGAAAGGTTTAAGCCTAGAACTATATAGTTTAAATAAGCATGAACACGTGTCCAACTTTAATCCATATGGATTTGCTTTTTTAGGGAATCCAAAGAATTTTAGCTTCAGTGCGTCCGACCTTAATGACCCTAACTTCGTGAACAGAACACAAGACATTGTTCCGGTCGTACTTGATTGGTTTATTGGGGTGAATGAGACCTGTGAGGTAGCTAAGAAAAACTCGTCCGCCTTTGCTTGCCAGAGGAATAGCAAATGCATCAACTTTGATGGTGACGAAGGAGGATACAGATGCAATTGTCTTCCTGGTTATCAGGGTAATCCTTACCTTAGCCCCGGATGTACAGGTTAGTTACTACTTACTTTTTCTTTTTTTTTTTTTTTGGGAAAGAAGGTTAGTCATTACTTATTAAAATCAATACAATAAATTTAAGAACGGCCAACATAGGAAAATGGGGGGCAATCTTTAAGGTTAATGGAGTATCCTTTCAATTGTTTTGCTAGTTAAATTTATGGTAATACTATGTGTAGTACTCCGTATATCGATGATTGAGATATCATATTATCATGCATGCTAAATCATATCAACTAACCATTCACTTTTATCCATTGATTTATTTGACACAAAAAAAATATGAAAAAAAAAATAAAAAAATAAACCTACATATAAATCACTATGTTACATATGAAGTACGGAGTATGAAGTATAATGTAATAAAACAGTAAAATACTAAAACGTAAATTTTTTGTTTCCGTATTCTCAAGATCATTTCTTATGCCTTCAATGAAAAAATTTGCTAAACATTGATTTTTCTCGATAATTCTTATAGCTAGGTAGTTCTTGATTTATTTAAATTTTATCAGTTTTTCTAATGTGTATCCATATCCTAATCTACCTACAAAAAATTAAGCATGTAAATTAACTACATTTTATGATTTTAATCAATACATAAGGTGTTATGCTGGCAAACGTGTCCAGCCGCTCTATGTCATGTGTCCAATCGGCTTCAACAACAATACCCACACATTAAAAAAAGTAAGAACCTCACACTTGTAACTAGAGTTTAGAGGTGATCATGGGATTGGCCAGGCTAAAGGTCAAAAATAAGTCGGGCCGAGTTGATCCAAAAATGCTTGTCAAAACCTGTTATTTTTAACTAAGCCGCCTAACAAGCTTTTCAGACTAGATTAAAAAAAAACAACAACAAAAAAAACGTAATTCAAAAAAAAAAAAAATGCTTGTACGTGGACAGTCCAAAAAAATTCAGTCTAATCCAACTTCAAGCCGGATTTTATTGTCCAAGCCTGCCCAAATAATCCAATTGGTTGGGCAGTTCCATCTTGTTTACCTTTACTTGTAACTTAAAGATTGATCACAACCACATTACAATATAGTCCATTAGTCCCTCCTTTGTGTAAATTTGTCCTTTTGATTAATTTGTATAATATTGGTTCTTTACACCTATAAAAGTTAAATTCTTGGCGTAAATTTCTCTATTCCGCTATTGCAGATATTGATGAGTGTGTAGGTCCAAAGAACCTTTGCTCTCATTTATGTACAAACACTCCAGGCAGCTACATATGCTCTTGTCCTAAAGGATACCATGGAAAAACCGTGAAGAAAGAAAACGATCATTGTGTTAAAGATTCTTCACTAAATGTAGCTGTAGTTCTGATTGCAACCTTGGGTTCAATACTTTTGCCTCTGATTGGATGGTGGTTATATGTGGTGATCATAAAAAGAAAGGCTATCAAGCAAAAAGCTAAAAATTTTCAGAAAAATGGTGGGTTGTTGCTGCAACATCGTATGTCGAATGATGAACATATTGTAGAGAGAACAAAGATCTTCACCATTGACGAGTTGGAGAAAGCTACGGACCAATTTAATGAGAGCAGAATAATTGGACAAGGAGGCCAAGGTACGGTTTATAAAGGTATGTTGGGTGAAGGGAGACTTGTTGCCGTAAAAAAATCTACGACAATAAGTGAAAGCCAACTAGGAGATTTCATCAACGAAGTGGTTGTCATGTCTCAAATAATTCATAGGAGTATAGTCAAGTTATTAGGATGTTGTTTGGAATCGGAAGTCCCATTACTAGTATATGAGTTTATCCCAAACGGAACTCTTTCTAATCATCTTCATCATCTAAATGAAGAGTTTCCAATCACATGGAGAATGCGCCTACGTATTGCTTCTGATTCTGCTGGAGCACTTGTTTATTTGCATACATCTTCTTCTATTCCTATCTTTCATAGGGACGTCAAATCTTCCAACATTCTTTTGGATGATAAGTATAGGGCAAAGTTATCAGATTTTGGGACATCAAGACATGTGGCTCCAGATCAAACTCATGTAACCACTCGTGTTATGGGAACATTTGGCTACTTGGATCCTGAATATCTTCAATCTAACCACTATACTGAGAAGAGTGATGTTTACAGTTTTGGTGTAGTCCTTCTTGAACTTTTAACGGGGCAAAAGGCAATACGTGCTATATGTGAGCAGAATAGAAGCTTGGTGTCGTGGTTTCTTTCTCATATGGAAAACTCTCATTTCCTTGACATTGTTGACCCTCAAGTCCTAAATGAGGGTTCAAAGGAAGAGGTTATAACTATAGCCGATCTTGCAAAGCGGTGCCTGAATTTGGATAGCAAGAGAAGACCAGCTATGAAAGAAGTTCTACTAGTACTAGAGACGATAGAGTCGAGTCATTTCAAACTGCCCCAAACCGATGAAGTACAAACCACCCAAAGTTTTAAGCAAGTGTTGGATGCTGGAGTAACCAAGAGTTTCTATCATGACAACGCTGCAACTTCTACAACATTTGTTACGGAAAGTAGTTATCCTCGCTCAGCTGAAGTATCTCTACAATTCAACCCTAGATGATTCAAATATTTTCAAAAGTTTGGTGACTTTGGTCATACAACCATGACTATAGCTGATGATCAAGATCGACTCTATTTAATTTAATATTTTCGTACTTTTTTAATGAGATAAACTTTGTTGTGTTGTTATGTTCAAGCCTTCAAGGCATGTTTCTGCAATGTAACTAATTAATTAGTAAAGACTTTATGTTTAGCTCATCAGTTCAGGTATCTCTATAACATGGGGCGGGCCTAAAAATACAGATAATTATATCATTGACATGATTCATAACTTCTTTTCTCTTAATATCTTTACACTTTTTTTTTTTTCAATTTTTCCTACACATGTAACTTGACTTAATGACTGTCAATATGTTTGATAGTGTATGATTTAAAATAACAAAACATTGATGCGATGAAAATGCACATCTTTATAAATATAAAAGGAACGCACAAAAGATACTATTAAAGAAAAACAGGATTACAACCTAAAAAAAATAAATAAATAAAATAAAATAAAAGGAACGTACATAATAAAGTTTAGATATATGATATCAACACATATATCTCTAACATACTCTCTTTAATTTGAACGTATCCACAGAAATAAGTGTATCGCATTTGGCTTATTTGGGCTAATTGGATTAATCTTTTGCTTCGGAGGAATGCTAATGCACTTTCATATTCAACAGCAAGCCTCTATACCAATAAAGAGATATTGTTGATGGGAATTATGTATTACAACTTTGGTCATTTTTATAATTGGGCCTAAATTTGCTTTAAAATGCTACCAATTATAAAATGATTAATAATATATATTTTTACCAATTATTCATTGAGATGTATGTTAAAAATCCAACATCTTAAACTATTAGTCGAATAAAGTTATACAACTACTAAATCTGATTCCACTAGATAAACGTCAGACGACAAACATTAGTACAAGGGACATTAGGAGATATTTAGATCATGAGTACTTCCAAATTAAACAAGCCAGCAATAGAGAAGAGTGATAGGCCAACCCTACCATGAAGGAAGTGGCCCTCGTAGAGAAGAGTGATAGTACAAACCTACAAAGTGGCCCTGGCCTTGAGCTTGAGCTTAAGCTTGATGGTTTGAGGAAACAAAATAGCTGTTAAATACGAGTCTGGGCCGCACCTGTCATAGGAGAGTGCAAGTCCACCACTTTCAAGACCAAGGAGGTCCTACCTCAAAACCATATGACAATGAGAGAAGTAGCCCCTTAGTCTTATATTGTAGTGCAGTGATAACTCTTGAATTCTTTCAATGTGGGAATCCATTACCACTACACTCCCCATTTTAAATGAACTAGTCTTTTGTCCCGTACAATGTATGGGCTTGTTATTGGTTTTTTTTTTTTTTTTTTGGTGCATGTAGTTTTATTTAATCATGAAATAGACAAATAGTAGTATGGAGACATCGGGGGTTTTGGTCGTGACTTATTTTGTGAGGAACAATAACTTTTTTTTTTTTTTTTTTTTTTGTTGTTGTTATTGTTGTTGTTGTTTTGCATTATAATATGTTGAATTTGGCATTCAATGGATTGGTAAGCAATCAATAATTAGGAAGTTAGATTAGCAAAATATTATTGAATATATGTTTAAGTAACTATGTTTACATAAGATAGTTGGGGAATGGCCGAATGAGATAGCATTCTTCATATTGTAGCATCCACATTTTCCCGTCATGTCTTCATATTTAGTCTCCTCCATTTTGTATGTTGTGGATTTTATTTGTCTTCAAGTGGTTGTATTTCCGGGATTGACTCATCATTCCTGTAAACTGATTAAAATTTGAGTATTAGCTAGACTTAGGCTTATTAACAATTTTCCAGTTTTGACAATTGGGGGTTTCAATTAACAAAAATTCATGCATGTTTAAATTTTATTTCAATTTCAGCGAAAATTTAAATATAAATTCTACAAAAAAAAATAAAAAAAATAAAAAAAAAAAAAAATAATAATAATAATAATAATAATAATAATAATAATAAAAGGCACAAGATGATAGTCACTCACCAAATGTGAATCTACATGTGAATTTGATTATGGAAGTACTATGTTATATAGAATTAATATTGTAGTGGCAGATGATTGAATAAATCTCCGTACTAAAAAAGCATTAACATACATCATTATTATGTTCGGAATTTGTAACCGAAAACATGATTAAAGGAATTTAATTTGTGGGAATTGAAGAGGGGAGATGAAGAGGAAGAGTGTGGAATTATTTGTGGGTTTCCTGATGAAGATGAAGCGGCCATCGGATTACGGTGGGTTTTTGATTTAATTTACAGATTTACATATACTCCATATTAAATTGTGTGGTGGAATGAAAGGTCATAGCTAGCTTTTAGCTAACATAAAATCCAAACAGTTTAGCTTTTACTCCAACTAATATCTCTAAATTATGCTCAGTTTTAAATTCTTAATTAATATTAATAATTTGATGACTAATTACTTTCCATTTAAATATTGATTTGTACACGTGGCACATTGTATTGGAATAATGAACACGTGGCACATTGGATTGGAATAGTGAGCATGTGGCACATTGGATTGGAAAAGAGAACATAGGATGAAGACATGTGTGTATCATGGTTAGAGTTTTTAAAGACTAAGTATAGATATAGATTAGTGTGAGACAAGAGAATGCTTACATCTAGGTTGTTCCCGGGCTCAACAAGCATCCTTGGGCCATCGCAACCATCCGTATGAAACAAGCAGTTTAACGAATCCAAGCTCGGGAGGATTCACGTCTGGGCAATATATTGAAATCGATATGATTACGCAAATGAATCGCACCCTCGCTAATGCTAATGCTATGATCAACCAACTTTTGAACTTTTGAAAGTTGTATAATTTCAAAAGGCACTATACAATGCAACCTCATCATGGCAAAGAGACAAGTCCTCTGTTCCATCCAAACTAATAGTCCGGCCTTTGAAAACTTTATTTCACAATAATCAATCTATAAACACACTTTTACAAAGTGTATATTTTACTTTTTACCGTTCTTTTATCATCTTATCTTTACAGTGTTACAGTGTTAGGATTTTTCTTTTTTTTTTTGTGTTTTTTTTTATCCAGTATATACTTGACACGTATACTAAATGGGACCTACTTAAGGTTTTTTGGATGACGTTAGTAAGAGGTGGTGAAATCAATTTTTTTGGTTTTTTGGTGGTGTTATAATCAAACTTTTAAATTTTGTGGTGTTATAAACAAAATTTGTGTTTTTTTGTGGTGTTATTTTCTAAAATTTCCAAAAAAAAATGACAAGAGAGGTAAGTAGTGGGGTTAATGAGATGGTTGTGAGATTAAAGATGTGATCTTATTTGTCCAAAAATAAAATGGGGTAAAATTTAAATGACGACCTAAAGAAATTGAGGCAAAAAAATAAATGACGGAGAGAGTAAAAGACTAAATTTAAACAATCGTCACGCCTAATCATCAGTTTCATCACGCACTTAAAATGCAGCCTGGTTGAAAAGAATAAAGTACTCCGTAACATATATGTCAAGCCTGAAGAATATGTACTTCTTACTCCTAAACTATAAATATGTTAATCTTCTATTTAAAACTTTAAAGAACATTGTATGATAACAAACTCTGAAAAAGAATATAATGAATAATACACACACAAAATCATACTCGTAATACAAAGTTCATATATCAATAATCTAATAAATGAACCATTGTACCCCGTACACATTGAAAATACCATACAAGAAAAGAATGAATTGTTATTTTTTTTCTTATAAATACATTAATTTTGAGAGTTTGGAAGGAATAATTGAGGAATTACAACAAGTAGGAGCTTTGGAGAATGGTATTTTTTGGGTTAAATGGAGCATATATAGTTTAGTACGTAATTCACCGGTGACAATGGGTAAATGTCTACCCATTATTACAATTCCCTTTCATCCAATTTTCGTACTATTTCTACTTTGCAATAATTTAAAAAGGTAGATGCATGCAGTACATGCATGTCCCAAAACTTTATTTTGACCCCATCCAGCTCATTTCATCTACTGCATGCAACTTTATCAGAAAAAAGGAAAGAAAAAAAAAAACAGTAGATGGCCTAAGTTACCAGAAACAGACATGTTTGACTAATAATTAAAGTAATACTTACATGATTGTGATAACTTGAGGTGGTATTGTACAAAATGCGAATAATACATGGTGATATTTACTAAATTTTCCTATTTTTAATGCAAAATTGGCTCAACAACATTCTAAACTATGACTTATTTACACCAAATATTTTGTATATTGTGCAGTAATTAAAACACCACAAATTACTAACTTGGGTGCAAAGCATACCTTTAGTAAGCATTATGACCGCCTTTCTCATTACGTATTCATTGGTCATAAAAAAAATCGATTGTCTATTACAACTTATGTACTAAGAAAATATTATCATGATCTTATTAGAATTGTTCAAAGTTTAGTATCTAAAAAAATTATTTTAACACATAATTAAATATTATCATGATCTTATTAGTATCCATTGAATATATGTATTATAAACCGCATAAAATACAAGTGAGTGGAATATAAAAGGACAAAAGAAATATTATTTTGTTAAATATTAGTTGCAACTTTGGGTATTATTTGTGAAATAGGAAAAAATTTCAAAGTTACATTAGGAAAAATATATATGTCAGTTAAAAGAAATGAATAGTTAACTATCTCAGTTATTGAATCCTGTATTATACCGTTAAGGTTTGTAGGTTGGTTTACAAATACTAGTTTCTAGCCTCTTTGCGTATGATTTCTCAATTCACATTCTCAATAAAACCATAAACCAAAACACATTATAGTCTTTCTCGTAAGCCATACATTAAAACCAAAAGATTTCCAAAAAAAAACAATGTTTGAGGTACGAGGCTTGTGTCTCCTCTTGCCACTGGTATGGTTGAGTTTAGCTAGACTTACAATCACCACTTTAGCCACCACGTCCACCCCCTTTGCGAAACCCGGTTGCCAAACTAGGTGCGGAAACATAACTATCCCCTACCCGTTTGGTATCGGCTATGATGGCAAAAACGAGTCATGTTCCTTGAATAAATTCTACAACATAATTTGCAACAATAGTTTCAATCCTCCAAAACCCTTTCTGAATTACAGTAACAATATCGAGGTCCTTAACATATCCATTGAGGACCAACACATGCTTGCTAAGAGCTTTGTGGCAGCTACATATTACAGACAAGGTACACTTGTAAACAAAACTCATGTTTCTTCAGCAGAGACAGACCTAACCAGATATCCCCTCGTTATTTCCGACACCAAGAACAAGCCACTAGTAGAAAAAGGCTCATTTGCGTCGCCATATTTGCGTCACTCATTCTAAAGAACGAAGCAAATGTGTATTTTTACCATCCTTTAAAGTTATTTGTGTCGCTTGTTATTGAAGAAGCGACGCAAAAGTCAAGTGTATGTTAGCTTTCTATCATTTGCGTCGCTCTTATTTATTGAAGCGACGCAAATACTAAAATTATTTGCGTCACTCATTTATTGACAAGCGACGCAAATAAGGCAGTGAAGTAATTGCGTCACTCTTTTAATAAATGAGCGACGCAAATAACAAATTTTCAGCATTTCAGATTTTGTTATTTGCGTCGCATTTTTATTATAAAGTGACGCAAATAACTCTATTGGACTTTAGGTTATTCATTTCTGCGCTTTTTTGACCTTAGCTTTTCATGCCAATCTTTCACTAATTCACTAAATGAAAAAAACAGAGTTGATTGCTTCTACAGAAAACTGCAATTCGACCCTTCAATCCAACAAATTCGCCCAAAATTCACCCACAAATTCGCCCAAAAAACTGCAATTCCCCAGCAAATTCAACATCCAAAATCGCAATCAAGTTCAACACCCATAATCGGCAGCAAATCCGAGCAATTTCGAGCAAAAATTTAGACCAAAAACCCTAATTAATTCGAACCCTTCAACCCCAGAAAAATTGATTATTTTCGACTAAAAATCCCCCATTTCAAGCAAAAAATGTACTCAATTCCATACGAATTCGAACCCTAGAAACCCCAAAAAATTCAATTAAAAATCCTGCTGAAAAAATTCGAGCAATTATTGAAATTTTCGACTGGAAAAATCGCTTAATTTCGCCCCCAAAAACCCGAGGAAGTTCAAGCAAATTACAGCAATGTTGAATTTTTGAATTTTCGAGTGGAAAAATCGCATAATTTCGCCCCCAAAAATCGATTTCGGCTAGACATTGTTGAATTTTTGAAATCAATTTCACCTATGGTAAGATTGCTTCTATTTATGGTAGTTTAATTTCAGGTTTAGTGTTAGTTCACTAATTAGAAATTATATGGCATATTTAATTGAATTTTTATAATTTCAGTCATTGAATTTTCATTGAGGCTCATCTCAATTCTACTGGTTTAATATATTCACCTGCATATTTTCAGCTAGTACATTTAGTCTTTAGATTTTTACAGTTGTTGTTTTGCAATATACTATTGGTTGCTTGTTTGCATCTTTGAACATTCATTGTTTTTTCTTTAGTTTTATGGGTCATGTGAAAATATTGATAACTGATCAGATATATGAAGTTGCCATTACCAGAATTAGTATGCCTTCATCTATAATCAGAATGCACATTCAACTGCCCTACATGAGTTCAGTGCCAACTGGGTCCACGAGAAAATGGAAAGAAAGAGTATTCTGGCTGATTGGCAGCAATTTTGATTCCCACAACTGCTAATTCATAGTTTGCAACCAAAAAAAAATGGTGATAACTGATAAGTTACTGCACTGTACTATAATAACCTGTCATTGTTGAACAAGGTTTAATGTAGGAGTAGAAGAAAATACTGAAGGTCATAATATCTGCTTAATTCCCGTATCATGCTCAGCTAATTTTCACTTTTTTTACTACTATTTTTAGAAAATTAAAACCATCACATAAATCATCATAGAGTAGGTCCATTTGGCTATGAATAAGATTATAAGAGAATCCTAAGGTTAGCAAGAAAGAATTCAAAGAAAGCAGAACATATTCATGAAAAATTGATCTTCTGAAAGTGTTTGGCTTTCAATTCACTAGAATGGAGGAAGCCATCTTACAAACTGACCAACACAAAGAGTTCCACAGAGATCAACTTGGAAGACTACATTCCACCAGTCAGATATTTGCATACTAAACAATATTGATTATTGATAAATAGTCTTACATGTTTATACTCTGAACTCTCCATAAAGATCCCACTGGTAGAAGCCTACTTTTTTAACCAACTACGGGCCTGCTTCACTAGCAAGCTCTTCGATATTCCATCGATCAAGTAAATGAGCGGTCTTGTGAGTTACCTCTCCATTTTATGTCTGTTGCTGTAATGTTTTATCCATTTTTCCTTCTCATCAGGTTCATCATAGATCACCAATTGCTTTTCCAATAATAATATAATATTACTTTCAGTGCCCATTTTCTCTACATTTAGTCTGTAGATTTTTACAGTTGCTGTTTTGCAATATACTACTGGTTTGCAGCTGCATCTTTGAGCTGCTGGTTTGCATCTTTGAACATTCATTGTTTTTTCTTTAATTTTATGGGTCATGTGACATCTATGGTTCTTTGAATGTCTTATTAAAATTATTTTTTATCGTTTAATTTTTTTAAAGGCATCATCATAATGGGTGATGGGAAGCACGAATTGGGCGCGTTTATGAGAACAAGTACCTCTACTTAGGCACTTACAGTAATGTCCTGAACTCTATTTCTCTCGTGCTCGCTCTTGTTCTATGAGATTTAGGATCACGAGCACACACGCAACTATGTTGGTTTAATATATGTAATTTTTTATGGCAGATTCTTAATTATGCGGAAGTGAATTCCACAAGTTGCTCGAGGTTCTGGTTGTGGACAAACGATTAAGGCGGTAGTACGCATACGAGATTGTCTTCACTTGTGGTATATATATCTGAACCATTCTTTGCAATATTAACTTATTTGTTCTGGTTGGTATAATGATTGTGAATTGTATGTGATTTTTAATTGTGATATAATTGATTGGAATTGCAATAATACTTGCATCATTGGCTTAGATACCCGTTCAGGGCTTACTCATTAGGAGTAAGTCTTGAATAGTCCCCGGTTTGGGACTGTTCTTGAATGTTCTATCTCATTTAGGTGATAACTACTTGAATTGTTTTGGGTCTAAGAAGATCATGGCTCACTATTTCCCGATTGTTCTCTGGGTACATATGTTGATAGCCGATTATCTACATTGTGTGCTTGGAGAACTATAGGGAAATGCTTCCGGATTTTCTTTAGAACCAAAATTTACAAGTAGTTATTGGTGAGATAGGACATTCAAGATGTGGTTAGGTTGGAGTGATAAGGACCTTATTGGATCATCCGGAGTTGCATTTACATGATAAAAACTTTGAATGAAAATGTTTGATGCCTTATATTCTTGTTTATGGTTAAGGAGCTATATATGTTACAAAATATACACATTATCTTAAAATTAATTTTGTTATTCAGTGGTTGAAAATGGATCGAAGTTGGATGTATGGTAAACAAAATTGTACAAGTTTTTTACAAGGAACTGAAGAGTTTAGCACTGTTGCCTTAAAACACCAAACAGAGAATAAATCAAAGATTATTCTTTGTCCTTGTTGTGACTGTAATAATTCGAGGGGATATCGTGATATAGTTGATATTAAAGATCATCTAATTCGTCGTGGGTTTAAAGAAAACTACACGAGGTGGACATGGCATGGTGAGAGCATATATATTGAGGCAAGTTCTAGTTATTGTCCAAGGGAAGATGAGAATCATTGTGATGATGATAATGAACACCAAGGTGAGGATATCGATACAGCTGATGATATTGGTGTTGAAAGTGAGAGTGAAGTGGAGAAGGACAGGATAGATGAAATGATGCATGATGTTGAAGACCACTTCACGGAGTGTCCCCAGACATATGATAGTATTTTGAGAGCTGCTGAAACCCCGTTATATCCTGGTTGTACAAAGTTCACTAAACTTGGTGCTATTATGAAGTTATTCAACTTAAAGGCGAGCAATTGTTGGACCGACAAGGGTTTTACGCAGTTGTTAGAAGCCTTAGTAGAAATGTTTCCCGACGGGAATGAACTTCCAAACTCCACCTATGAGGCCAAGAAACTTATGTGCCCCTTGGGTATGGAGTATGAAAAGATACATGCTTGTCCCAATGACTGTGTGTTATATCGAAATGAGTATGCTGATTTGCATGAGTGTCCAAGGTGTGGAGTTTCTCGTTACAAGATGAATGATACTGGTGAGATGTGTAAGAAAGGGTCTCCGGCTAAAGTATTATGGTATCTTCCAATTATACCGAGATTTAGGAGACTCTTCTCGGATGAAAAAACTGCAAAATTATTGAGGTGGCATGCTGATGGGAGGAAGAAAGATGGGTTAATGAGGCATCCTGCTGATTCCCCGCAATGGAGGAACATTGATCGAAAGTTCAAGGACTTTGGTGAAGAAGATCGAAATCTTAGGCTTGGTCTTAGTACAGGTGGAATGAACCCATTTGGGACACTAAGTACCCAATATAGCACCTGACCGGTTCTTCTAACTATCTACAATTTGCCTCCTTGGTTATGCATGAAGTCTAGATACATTATGTTGTCCCTTCTAATATCTGGGCCTAAACAACCTGGAAATGACATTGATGTGTATCTAGCGCCTCTCATTGAAGATTTGAAATTGTTGTGGAATGAAGGTGTCCAAATGTTTGATGCATATAGTAAAACCAATTTCACTTTACGTGCCATGATTTTTTGTACGATAAATGACTTCCCAGCTTATGGGAATTTGTCGGGGTACACTGTGAAGGGAAGAACTCCTTGCCCCATTTGTGAAGATGATCCATTTGCAAACATACAGGTATCCAAAACTTTGTTATTTTATATTTTTTATCTTTTTTTTAATGATTTATGACTGCAACATACTTTTAACTTTGTAACTCAGTTTTCTATATTTTTTAATTATGAGTTTTTTCTATCTTTGTAAGGAACCGGTTCCTTGTCGGCTATCATTGTTGAAAAATGACTCTGAGAAAGTCATTGTAGCTGAAGGTACATATCATCCGGAGTTAATCCTTGATCATCATAGTAACCTCATTCCGGATCACGTGAGGGTGAGTGTTGATGATTTTTTTGACGAGTTCAAAGAATTCTCGGTTCCAGTTCCTTCTTCAGTCATCAAGAAACTTAAGCATGCTCACAGTACATTTACCCAATGGCCGAAAGACTTGGTTTCACTCATGCATGACAAGGTAAATTATTTTTGTAACAATTTACATATAGTTTGCCATACAAAATATAGCAAATTGTTGAATAGATTTGCTTTACTATTGATTAGGAATTCATATCAAATAAGAACAATGGTAACAACAAAGCGGCCAAAGAAAACATGCAAGACAAACTGAAAGTAGTTGAAAGTGGTCGCGAAACAAAAGAGTCCAACACCAATCCAAAAAAAGTTTTTCTTATGGATTATGCTTTGGAAAACTTGTCTCAGAAGTGTGGGTCTTTGAATAGTTTGTTATCTTCATTACCCGAAGGTGAAACTATTAAGGTTAAGGCTGATGCTTGGACCTTTAGTTATGAAGACAATAAGGACATCATTATTAAACGTGAAGATGTCAATCAACTTCTCACAGGAGCTTGGCTGAATATTTCAGTTTTGCAAGTGTTTATGATGTAAGATATTCAAATTTCACTCTTCCCATATACTTATTTATTACTATTTATAATGTTATTACATGAAATATATGTAGGGCCTTGAGTGACTTACTCGATACGGAGGAAGTGGCTTCCATTGGATTCATGTGTCCGGAAATGATTTCAGAAACCTATTTGCATAGTGATGCTGATCGTATCCTACTATACATGACACATGTGATGGAAAAACAAAAATCTAAGCAATTCATCTTATGCCCATACCATGAAAAGTATAAACTTTGAACTTGTATTTATTTGAACTTTGCAAATTGTTGATATTATTTTACTCTTTTACAAATGTGTGTCTAATTTATTATGTAGGAATCATTGGGTTCTTTTAGTCTTATGCATGGCTAAGCGTGAAGTCATCATCTTTGATTCTTTGAGGCAGAAGCGAAATTTAGCAATTAAGTTTGCAATGACAAAGTAAGTCTAGTTTGTTATTAATGTCATGATTTTATGTGTGTAAGAGTAATATATATGTTATTTGTTTCAAATGTGTAGTGCTTTTCGAAGTTTTAAGGCATTAAGTGGAAAATCTAGGGGAAGTAAATTGACATGGCATTTGGGACAGGTTACCTTAATTTCTTACCCTAACTTTTAGTTTCTTAATAATTGAAGTATAGCAATTTAATTCGACTTACAAATATATTACATGTAGTGTCCTCAACAATTGGGTGGACGTGAGTGTGGCTACTACGTCATGCGTTATATGTACGAAATACTTAACATCACCATAGCAGTGAAGATCTTATTCAGGTATGAGTTGTCAAATATTTCATTTTTGTTTGATAAATACAATTTGATGTTAGCTACAATCTTGAATTAAAACTTTCCTCTTGTATATTTGTTGTGTTGATAGAATTTTTCAAGAACTACACCTTACACCGAGGAGGAGATAAATGAGATCCGAGATATTTGGGCAGAGTATTTTATATGTAATGTTGAACTTTAGATTTACCACTTAGCGCATGTTTGACTCTTGTTTTGGATTATAGGCTTGAAATGAAGTAATTTGGTTAATTGGTGTTGGGATGATGAGTATAATGTCTATGATATTGAGATGTAAATTATTGGACAGGTTGTTAATATAATGCCGTCATTCCCAATTTTATGGGTAGGCCAAATGACAAAGGAGACTCTGCCAAAATTTACATTTGCATTATTCAATAATATTGCATTTTAATTTCAATTATATTAGCGTTAGCATATTACTTTATACCTAGGAAAACAGGTACTACAAACATATACAAGGCAATTATTATATTATAATTAAAAAAAAAAATTCACCTCATTTGCGTCACTCATTAAACAAACAAGTGACGCAAATACAGCAGTTTTGTATTGTCTATTCAGTCATTTGCGTCACTCCTATATAAACAAGTGACGCAAATAACAAAAAATAAGTTAATTGGAAGAGTCATTTGCGTCGCTTGTTTATAAAGGAGCGACGCAAATAACAAAAAAAGTTTATCTGAAAAGTCATTTGCGTCGCTTGTTTATAAAGGAGCGACGCAAATAACTAAAAATAAGTTTATCAGAAAAGTCATTTGCGTCGCCCTTTTATAAAGGAGTGACGCAAATGACTAAAAATAAGTTTATCAGAAAAGTCATTTGCGTCACTCTTTTATAAAGGAGTGACGCAAATAACAAAAAATAAGTTAATCAGAAAAGTCATTTGCGTCGCTCCTTTATAAAAGAGTGACGCAAATGACAAAAAATAAGTTTATCAGAAAAGTCATTTGCGTCGCTTATTTATAAAGGAGCGACGCAAATGACAAAAAATAAGTTTATCAAAAAAGTCATTTGCGTCGCTCCTTTACAAAGTGACCCTGGCCTTGAGCTTGAGCTTAAGCTTGATGGTTTGAGGAAACAAAATAGCCGTTAAATACGAGTCTGGGCCGCACCTGTCATAGGAGAGTGCAAGTCCACCACTTTCAAGACCAAGAAGGTCCTACCTCAAAACCATATGACAATGAGAGGAATAGCCCCTTAGTCTTATATTGTAGTGTAGTGATAACTCTTGAATTCTTTCAATGTGGGAATCCATTACCACTACACTCTTCATTTTAAATGAACTAGTCTTTTGTCCCGTACAATGTACGGGCTTGTTATTGGTTTTTTTTTTTTTTTTTTTTTTTTGGTGCATGTAGTTTTATTTAATCATGAAATAGACAAATAGTAGTATGGAGACATCGGGGGTTTTGGTCGTGACTTATTTTGTGAGGAACAATAACTTTTTTTTTTTTTTTTTGTTGTTATTGTTGTTGTTGTTTTGCATTATAATATGTTGAATTTGGCATTCAATGGATTGGTAAGCAATCAATAATTAGGAAGTTAGATTAGCAAAATATTATTGAATATATGTTTAAGTAACTATGTTTACATAAGATAGTTGGGGAATGGCCGAATGAGATAGCATTCTTCATATTGTAGCATCCACATTTTCCCGTCATGTCTTCATATTTAGTCTCCTCCATTTTGTATGTTGTGGATTTTATTTGTCTTCAAGTGGTTGTATTTCCGGGATTGACTCATCATTCCTGTAAACTGATTAAAATTTGAGTATTAGCTAGACTTAGGCTTATTAACAATTTTCCAGTTTTGACAATTGGGGGTTTCAATTAACAAAAATTCATGCATGTTTAAATTTTATTTCAATTTCAGCGAAAATTTAAATATAAATTCTACAAAAAAAAAATAAAAAAAAAAAAATAATAATAATAATAATAATAATAATAATATAATAATAAAAGGCACAAGATGATAGTCACTCACCAAATGTGAATCTACATGTGAATTTGATTATGGAAGTACTATGTTATATAGAATTAATATTGTAGTGGCAGATGATTGAATAAATCTCCGTACTAAAAAAGCATTAACATACATCATTATTATGTTCGGAATTTGTAACCGAAAACATGATTAAAGGAATTTAATTTGTGGGAATTGAAGAGGGGAGATGAGGAGGAAGAGTGTGGAATTATTTGTGGGTTTCCTGATGAAGATGAAGCGGTCATCGGATTACGGTGGGTTTTTGGTTTAATTTACAGATTTACATATACTCCATATTAAATTGTGTGGTGGAATGAAAGGTCAAAGCTAGCTTTTAGCTAACATAAAATCCAAACAGTTTAGCTTATACTCCAACTAATATCTCTAAATTATGCTCAGTTTTAAATTCTTAATTAATATTAATAATTTGATGACTAATTACTTTCCATTTAAATATTGATTTGTACACGTGGCACATTGTATTGGAATAATGAACACGTGGCACATTGGATTGGAATAGTGAGCATGTGGCACATTGGATTGGAAAAGAGAACATAGGATGAAGACATGTGTGTATCATGATTAGAGTTTTTAAAGACTAAGTATAGATATAGATTAGTGTGAGACAAGAGAATGCTTACATCTAGGTTGTTCCCGGGCTCAACAAGCATCCTTGGGCCATCGCAACCATCCGTATGAAACAAGCAGTTTAACAAATCCAAGCTCGGGAGGATTCACGTCTGGACAATATATTGAAATCGATATGATTACGCAAATGAATCGCACCCTCGCTAATGCTAATGCTATGATCCACCAACTTTTGAACTTTTGAAAGTTGTATAATTTCAAAAGGCACTATACAATGCAACCTCATCATGGCAAAGAGACAAGTCCTCTGTTCCATCCAAACTAATAGTCCGGCCTTTGAAAACTTTATTTCACAATAATCAATCTATAAACACACTTTTACAAAGTGTATATTTTACTTTTTACCGTTCTTTTATCATGTTATCTTTACAGTGTTATGGTAGTAATATTGTATTTCCTCTGTCCCTTAATTTTTGTTCCATAAAGAGTTGATACTTTACTAATTTTTGTTTGGAAAAAAAAAGGAAATTTTAGAAAATAACACCACAAAAAAACACAAATTTTGTTTATAACACCACAAAAAAATAAATTTTGATTATAACACCACAAGAAAACACCAAAATTTGATTTAACCACCACTTAACGGATTCTTGGATGGAATCCGTTAGTGGGGCCCATAATTGACACGTGTCAATAACCTATAGGTTTAAAAAAGATGAAATAATAAAAAGAAAAAAAAATCCCTTAACCCGGCTAGCCCCACCACCGGCGCCACCTCGCTTTAGCCGCAACCACTATAACCCAGGCCGCCGCCGACACCTATCTCCCCAACCAAAACCGGCGACACCCATCTCCCCAACCAAAACCACCCCACAACGCCGAATTTCGCCTTCCCTCTCCCCGAAAACCACTCACGCCGCTGAACTCATACGACCAAACGTCCAAACCCGAAAACCACCCCACGCCGCCGAACTCCTACATCACGGCACCAATAGCTACCTCGGCTACATCACCACCATCGTCGCCAAAATCTTCTTCCTTACCTAGAGCTTTCGTCGAAAATCGAAATCCCAACCCACATTACCCACAAACAGGGGCGGAGCCATGTAGGAACAAGGGGGGACGGTTGTCCCCCCATTTTTCCAAAAAAAAATTTAATTTATGTTAGCTTAAATAAATGCTGTAAATAAGAATAAATACCTTACATGTATACCTTATATAACAAAGACAACATTTGGTCTGGTGGTTGATGGGCTTGAGTAAAGCTTGTATTTCTCTTTGATCCTAGGTTCGATTCTTTACCCGATCATTTTTTTTGTTTCTTTTTGCTATTTTTGGACTTTATTTTTATTTCATTTTATAGTTTAGACAAAGTGCTCCTATTTAACTTCTTTTTCTTGTTTTTGGATTTTGCCATTTTTTTTTTTACTGGTTTTTAAATTTCATTATATAGTATGTAATTTATATATACAAAGTATTATAAGTCTTCAAACCTCTAATTACTCTCATTTAACTGTTTAATCAAGTATCGCCTTGTTGATAGTGATTACTAATGTGTTATTAAACTATTTGTAATGAACACATGTCTCCGTATTTTTTTATCTCTCTAATTATGTGTGCCTAAATTCTATTTTTTTTATAGCTTGTTTGGAACTAAGTTTCCAATTTTATTTTTAGTCAAAGAAAGTTTATTTATTTATTATTATTTTTTTTTTAAAATGTAACCCAAATCCCTTTACATCTACTATCAATTTGTGTAAATGCTTATCATTTGATAAATCATATTTATCGATTATTAAGGATTACATACCTTAAAATTGGGGTTTACCAGCATAAAAAAAAAATTTGGTTAATAAATTTCTTAATATGCAATTAATTTTTTAACAACTCCTCTTTCACCATATAAGAATAATTGTCATATCTCATAAGCGATTTCAAATATATATTAAACAATTTATGTGATCAATTTCTTTTTTCTTATAATTATTGTCGATTATTAAACATCTAAAAATTGTCCCCCCGGATTACAAATCCTGGCTCCGCCACTGCCCACAAACCTCCCTCACCTGAACCCTAACCCGTTTCAAGAAATCAAATTGAATCGGGGCTGGGCTGAGCTGGGTACGGTGTTTAAGGGTCAGCGTGGTGCTCGTTCAGGTGATCGGTCAAGGGTGGTCGGTCGAGGGTGGTCAGCTAGGGGAACCAGCAGCGCGGTGGGGGCAAGTGGAATGGCGCCGGTGGTGAGTGCGGTGGCTGGGTTAGGATTTTTCTTTTTTTTTGTGTTTTTTTTTATCCAGTATATACTTGACACGTATACTAAGTGGGACCTAATTAAGGTTTTTTGGATGACGTTAGTAAGAGGTGGTGAAATCAATTTTTTTGGTTTTTTGGTGGTGTTATAATCAAACTTTTAAATTTTGTGGTGTTATAAACAAAATTTGTGTTTTTTTTGTGGTGTTATTTTCTAAAATTTCCAAAAAAAATGACAAGAGAGGTAAGTAGTGGGGTTAATGAGATGGTTGTGAGATTAAAGATGTGATCTTATTTGTCCAAAAATAAAATGGGGTAAAATTTAAATGACGACCTAAAGAAATTGAGGCAAAAAAATAAGTGACGGAGAGAGTAAAAGACTAAATTTAAACAATCGTCACGCCTAATCATCAGTTTCATCACGCACTTAAGATGCAGTCTGGTTGAAAAGAAAAAAGTACTCCGTAACATATATGTCAAGCCTGAAGAATATGTACTTCTTACTCCTAAACTATAAATATGTTAATCTTCTATTTAAAACTTTAAAGAACATTGTATGATAACAAACTCTGAAAAAGAATATAATGAATAATACACACACAAAATCATACTCGTAATACAAAGTTCATATATCAATAATCTAATAAATGAACCATTGTACCCCGTACACATTGAAAATACCATACAAGAAAAGAATGAATTGTTATTTTTTTTCTTATAAATACATTAATTTTGAGAGTTTGGAAGGAATAATTGAGGAATTACAACAAGTAGGAGCTTTGGAGAATGGTATTTTTTGGGTTAAATGGAGCATATATAGTTTAGTACGTAATTCACCGGTGACAATGGGTAAATGTCTACCCATTATTACAATTCCCTTTCATCCAATTTTCGTACTATTTCTACTTTGCAATAATTTAAAAAGGTAGATGCATGCAGTACATGCATGTCCCAAAACTTTATTTTGACCCCATCCAGCTCATTCATCTACTGCATGCAACTTTATCAGAAAAAAGGAAAGAAAAAAAACAGTAGATGGCCTAAGTTACCAGAAACAGACATGTTTGACTAATAATTAAAGTAATACTTACATGATTGTGATAACTTGAGGTGGTATTGTACAAAATGCGAATAATACATGGTGATATTTACTAAATTTTCCTATTTTTAATGCAAAATTGGCTCAACAACATTCTAAACTATGACTTATTTACACCAAATATTTTGTATATTGTGCAGTAATTAAAACACCACAAATTACTAACTTGGGTGCAAAGCATACCTTTAGTAAGCATTATGACCGCCTTTCTCATTACGTATTCATTGGTCATAAAAAAAATCGATTGTCTATTACAACTTATGTACTAAGAAAATATTATCATGATCTTATTAGAATTGTTCAAAGTTTAGTATCTAAAAAAATTATTTTAACACATAATTAAATATTATCATGATCTTATTAGTATCCATTGAATATATGTATTATAAACCGCATAAAATACAAGTGAGTGGAATATAAAAGGACAAAAGAAATATTATTTTGTTAAATATTAGTTGCAACTTTGGGTATTATTTGTGAAATAGGAAAAAATTTCAAAGTTACATTAGGGAAAATATATATGTCAGTTAAAAGAAATGAATAGTTAACTATCTCAGTTATTGAATCCTGTATTATACCGTTAAGGTTTGTAGGTTGGTTTACAAATACTAGTTTCTAGCCTCTTTGCGTATGATTTCTCAATTCACATTCTCAATAAAACCATAAACCAAAACACATTATAGTCTTTCTCGTAAGCCATACATTAAAACCAAAAGATTTCCAAAAAAAAAAACAATGTTTGAGGTACGAGGCTTGTGTCTCCTCTTGCCACTGGTATGGTTGAGTTTAGCTAGTCTTACAATCACCACTTTAGCCACCACGCCCACCCCCTTTGCGAAACCCGGTTGCCAAACTAGGTGCGGAAACATAACTATCCCCTACCCGTTTGGTATCGGCTATGATGGCAAAAACGAGTCATGTTCCTTGAATAAATTCTACAACATAATTTGCAACAATAGTTTCAATCCTCCAAAACCCTTTCTGAATTACAGTAACAATATCGAGGTCCTTAACATATCCATTGAGGACCAACACATGCTTGCTAAGAGCTTTGTGGCAGCTACATATTACAGACAAGGTACACTTGTAAACAAAACTCATGTTTCTTCAGCAGAGACAGACCTAACCAGATATCCCCTCGTTATTTCCGACACCAAGAACAAGCCACTAGTAGAAAAAGGCTCATTTGCGTCGCCATATTTGCGTCACTCATTCTAAAGAACGAAGCAAATGTGTATTTTTACCATCCTTTAAAGTTATTTGTGTCGCTTGTTATTGAAGAAGCGACGCAAAAGTCAAGTGTATGTTAGCTTTCTATCATTTGCGTCGCTCTTATTTATTGAAGCGACGCAAATACTAAAATTATTTGCGTCACTCATTTATTGACAAGCGACGCAAATAAGGCAGTGAAGTAATTGCGTCACTCTTTTAATAAATGAGCGACGCAAATAACAAATTTTCAGCATTTCAGATTTTGTTATTTGCGTCGCATTTTTATTATAAAGTGACGCAAATAACTCTATTGGACTTTAGGTTATTCATTTCTGCGCTTTTTTGACCTTAGCTTTTCATGCCAATCTTTCACTAATTCACTAAATGAAAAAAACAGAGTTGATTGCTTCTACAGAAAACTGCAATTCGACCCTTCAATCCAACAAATTCGCCCAAAATTCACCCACAAATTCGCCCAAAAAACTGCAATTCCCCAGCAAATTCAACATCCAAAATCGCAATCAAGTTCAACACCCATAATCGGCAGCAAATCCGAGCAATTTCGAGCAAAAATTTAGACCAAAAACCCTAATTAATTCGAACCCTTCAACCCCAGAAAAATTGATTATTTTCGACTAAAAATCCCCCATTTCAAGCAAAAAATGTACTCAATTCCATACGAATTCGAACCCTAGAAACCCCAAAAAATTCAATTAAAAATCCTGCTGAAAAAATTCGAGCAATTATTGAAATTTTCGACTGGAAAAATCGCTTAATTTCGCCCCCAAAAACCCGAGGAAGTTCAAGCAAATTACAGCAATGTTGAATTTTTGAATTTTCGAGTGGAAAAATCGCATAATTTCGCCCCCAAAAATCGATTTCGGCTAGACATTGTTGAATTTTTGAAATCAATTTCACCTATGGTAAGATTGCTTCTATTTATGGTAGTTTAATTTCAGGTTTAGTGTTAGTTCACTAATTAGAAATTATATGGCATATTTAATTGAATTTTTATAATTTCAGTCATTGAATTTTCATTGAGGCTCATCTCAATTCTACTGGTTTAATATATTCACCTGCATATTTTCAGCTAGTACATTTAGTCTTTAGATTTTTACAGTTGTTGTTTTGCAATATACTATTGGTTGCTTGTTTGCATCTTTGAACATTCATTGTTTTTTCTTTAGTTTTATGGGTCATGTGAAAATATTGATAACTGATCAGATATATGAAGTTGCCATTACCAGAATTAGTATGCCTTCATCTATAATCAGAATGCACATTCAACTGCCCTACATGAGTTCAGTGCCAACTGGGTCCACGAGAAAATGGAAAGAAAGAGTATTCTGGCTGATTGGCAGCAATTTTGATTCCCACAACTGCTAATTCATAGTTTGCAACCAAAAAAAAATGGTGATAACTGATAAGTTACTGCACTGTACTATAATAACCTGTCATTGTTGAACAAGGTTTAATGTAGGAGTAGAAGAAAATACTGAAGGTCATAATATCTGCTTAATTCCCGTATCATGCTCAGCTAATTTTCACTTTTTTTACTACTATTTTTAGAAAATTAAAACCATCACATAAATCATCATAGAGTAGGTCCATTTGGCTATGAATAAGATTATAAGAGAATCCTAAGGTTAGCAAGAAAGAATTCAAAGAAAGCAGAACATATTCATGAAAAATTGATCTTCTGAAAGTGTTTGGCTTTCAATTCACTAGAATGGAGGAAGCCATCTTACAAACTGACCAACACAAAGAGTTCCACAGAGATCAACTTGGAAGACTACATTCCACCAGTCAGATATTTGCATACTAAACAATATTGATTATTGATAAATAGTCTTACATGTTTATACTCTGAACTCTCCATAAAGATCCCACTGGTAGAAGCCTACTTTTTTAACCAACTACGGGCCTGCTTCACTAGCAAGCTCTTCGATATTCCATCGATCAAGTAAATGAGCGGTCTTGTGAGTTACCTCTCCATTTTATGTCTGTTGCTGTAATGTTTTATCCATTTTTCCTTCTCATCAGGTTCATCATAGATCACCAATTGCTTTTCCAATAATAATATAATATTACTTTCAGTGCCCATTTTCTCTACATTTAGTCTGTAGATTTTTACAGTTGCTGTTTTGCAATATACTACTGGTTTGCAGCTGCATCTTTGAGCTGCTGGTTTGCATCTTTGAACATTCATTGTTTTTTCTTTAATTTTATGGGTCATGTGACATCTATGGTTCTTTGAATGTCTTATTAAAATTATTTTTTATCGTTTAATTTTTTTAAAGGCATCATCATAATGGGTGATGGGAAGCACGAATTGGGCGCGTTTATGAGAACAAGTACCTCTACTTAGGCACTTACAGTAATGTCCTGAACTCTATTTCTCTCGTGCTCGCTCTTGTTCTATGAGATTTAGGATCACGAGCACACACGCAACTATGTTGGTTTAATATATGTAATTTTTTATGGCAGATTCTTAATTATGCGGAAGTGAATTCCACAAGTTTCTCGAGGTTCTGGTTGTGGACAAACGATTAAGGCGGTAGTACGCATACGAGATTGTCTTCACTTGTGGTATATATATCTGAACCATTCTTTGCAATATTAACTTATTTGTTCTGGTTGGTATAATGATTGTGAATTGTATGTGATTTTTAATTGTGATATAATTGATTGGAATTGCAATAATACTTGCATCATTGGCTTAGATACCCGTTCAGGGCTTACTCATTAGGAGTAAGTCTTGAATAGTCCCCGGTTTGGGACTGTTCTTGAATGTTCTATCTCATTTAGGTGATAACTACTTGAATTGTTTTGGGTCTAAGAAGATCATGGCTCACTATTTCCCGATTGTTCTCTGGGTACATATGTTGATAGCCGATTATCTACATTGTGTGCTTGGAGAACTATAGGGAAATGCTTCCGGATTTTCTTTAGAACCAAAATTTACAAGTAGTTATTGGTGAGATAGGACATTCAAGATGTGGTTAGGTTGGAGTGATAAGGACCTTATTGGATCATCCGGAGTTGCATTTACATGATAAAAACTTTGAATGAAAATGTTTGATGCCTTATATTCTTGTTTATGGTTAAGGAGCTATATATGTTACAAAATATACACATTATCTTAAAATTAATTTTGTTATTCAGTGGTTGAAAATGGATCGAAGTTGGATGTATGGTAAACAAAATTGTACAAGTTTTTTACAAGGAACTGAAGAGTTTAGCACTGTTGCCTTAAAACACCAAACAGAGAATAAATCAAAGATTATTCTTTGTCCTTGTTGTGACTGTAATAATTCGAGGGGATATCGTGATATAGTTGATATTAAAGATCATCTAATTCGTCGTGGGTTTAAAGAAAACTACACGAGGTGGACATGGCATGGTGAGAGCATATATATTGAGGCAAGTTCTAGTTATTGTCCAAGGGAAGATGAGAATCATTGTGATGATGATAATGAACACCAAGGTGAGGATATCGATACAGCTGATGATATTGGTGTTGAAAGTGAGAGTGAAGTGGAGAAGGACAGGATAGATGAAATGATGCATGATGTTGAAGACCACTTCACGGAGTGTCCCCAGACATATGATAGTATTTTGAGAGCTGCTGAAACCCCGTTATATCCTGGTTGTACAAAGTTCACTAAACTTGGTGCTATTATGAAGTTATTCAACTTAAAGGCGAGCAATTGTTGGACCGACAAGGGTTTTACGCAGTTGTTAGAAGCCTTAGTAGAAATGTTTCCCGACGGGAATGAACTTCCAAACTCCACCTATGAGGCCAAGAAACTTATGTGCCCCTTGGGTATGGAGTATGAAAAGATACATGCTTGTCCCAATGACTGTGTGTTATATCGAAATGAGTATGCTGATTTGCATGAGTGTCCAAGGTGTGGAGTTTCTCGTTACAAGATGAATGATACTGGTGAGATGTGTAAGAAAGGGTCTCTGGCTAAAGTATTATGGTATCTTCCAATTATACCGAGATTTAGGAGACTCTTCTCGGATGAAAAAACTGCAAAATTATTGAGGTGGCATGCTGATGGGAGGAAGAAAGATGGGTTAATGAGGCATCCTGCTGATTCCCCGCAATGGAGGAACATTGATCGAAAGTTCAAGGACTTTGGTGAAGAAGATCGAAATCTTAGGCTTGGTCTTAGTACAGGTGGAATGAACCCATTTGGGACACTAAGTACCCAATATAGCACCTGACCGGTTCTTCTAACTATCTACAATTTGCCTCCTTGGTTATGCATGAAGTCTAGATACATTATGTTGTCCCTTCTAATATCTGGGCCTAAACAACCTGGAAATGACATTGATGTGTATCTAGCGCCTCTCATTGAAGATTTGAAATTGTTGTGGAATGAAGGTGTCCAAATGTTTGATGCATATAGTAAAACCAATTTCACTTTACGTGCCATGATTTTTTGTACGATAAATGACTTCCCAGCTTATGGGAATTTGTCGGGGTACACTGTGAAGGGAAGAACTCCTTGCCCCATTTGTGAAGATGATCCATTTGCAAACATACAGGTATCCAAAACTTTGTTATTTTATATTTTTTATCTTTTTTTTAATGATTTATGACTGCAACATACTTTTAACTTTGTAACTCAGTTTTCTATATTTTTTAATTATGAGTTTTTTCTATCTTTGTAAGGAACCGGTTCCTTGTCGGCTATCATTGTTGAAAAATGACTCTGAGAAAGTCATTGTAGCTGAAGGTACATATCATCCGGAGTTAATCCTTGATCATCATAGTAACCTCATTCCGGATCACGTGAGGGTGAGTGTTGATGATTTTTTTGACGAGTTCAAAGAATTCTCGGTTCCAGTTCCTTCTTCAGTCATCAAGAAACTTAAGCATGCTCACAGTACATTTACCCAATGGCCGAAAGACTTGGTTTCACTCATGCATGACAAGGTAAATTATTTTTGTAACAATTTACATATAGTTTGCCATACAAAATATAGCAAATTGTTGAATAGATTTGCTTTACTATTGATTAGGAATTCATATCAAATAAGAACAATGGTAACAACAAAGCGGCCAAAGAAAACATGCAAGACAAACTGAAAGTAGTTGAAAGTGGTCGCGAAACAAAAGAGTCCAACACCAATCCAAAAAAAGTTTTTCTTATGGATTATGCTTTGGAAAACTTGTCTCAGAAGTGTGGGTCTTTGAATAGTTTGTTATCTTCATTACCCGAAGGTGAAACTATTAAGGTTAAGGCTGATGCTTGGACCTTTAGTTATGAAGACAATAAGGACATCATTATTAAACGTGAAGATGTCAATCAACTTCTCATAGGAGCTTGGCTGAATATTTCAGTTTTGCAAGTGTTTATGATGTAAGATATTCAAATTTCACTCTTCCCATATACTTATTTATTACTATTTATAATTTTATTACATGAAATATATGTAGGGCCTTGAGTGACTTACTCGATACGGAGGAAGTGGCTTCCATTGGATTCATGTGTCCGGAAATGATTTCAGAAACCTATTTGCATAGTGATGCTGATCGTATCCTACTATACATGACACATGTGATGGAAAAACAAAAATCTAAGCAATTCATCTTATGCCCATACCATGAAAAGTATAAACTTTGAACTTGTATTTATTTGAACTTTGCAAATTGTTGATATTATTTTACTCTTTTACAAATGTGTGTCTAATTTATTATGTAGGAATCATTGGGTTCTTTTAGTCTTATGCATGGCTAAGCGTGAAGTCATCATCTTTGATTCTTTGAGGCAGAAGCGAAATTTAGCAATTAAGTTTGCAATGACAAAGTAAGTCTAGTTTGTTATTAATGTCATGATTTTATGTGTGTAAGAGTAATATATATGTTATTTGTTTCAAATGTGTAGTGCTTTTCGAAGTTTTAAGGCATTAAGTGGAAAATCTAGGGGAAGTAAATTGACATGGCATTTGGGACAGGTTACCTTAATTTCTTACCCTAACTTTTAGTTTCTTAATAATTGAAGTATAGCAATTTAATTCGACTTACAAATATATTACATGTAGTGTCCTCAACAATTGGGTGGACGTGAGTGTGGCTACTACGTCATGCGTTATATGTACGAAATACTTAACATCACCATAGCAGTGAAGATCTTATTCAGGTATGAGTTGTCAAATATTTCATTTTTGTTTGATAAATACAATTTGATGTTAGCTACAATCTTGAATTAAAACTTTCCTCTTGTATATTTGTTGTGTTGATAGAATTTTTCAAGAACTACACCTTACACCGAGGAGGAGATAAATGAGATCCGAGATATTTGGGCAGAGTATTTTATATGTAATGTTGAACTTTAGATTTACCACTTAGCGCATGTTTGACTCTTGTTTTGGATTATAGGCTTGAAATGAAGTAATTTGGTTAATTGGTGTTGGGATGATGAGTATAATGTCTATGATATTGAGATGTAAATTATTGGACAGGTTGTTAATATAATGCCGTCATTCCCAATTTTATGGGTAGGCCAAATGACAAAGGAGACTCTGCCAAAATTTACATTTGCATTATTCAATAATATTGCATTTTAATTTCAATTATATTAGCGTTAGCATATTACTTTATACCTAGGAAAACAGGTACTACAAACATATACAAGGCAATTATTATATTATAATTAAAAAAAAAAAATTCACCTCATTTGCGTCACTCATTAAACAAACAAGTGACGCAAATACAGCAGTTTTGTATTGTCTACTCAGTCATTTGCGTCACTCCTATATAAACAAGTGACGCAAATAACAAAAAATAAGTTAATTGGAAGAGTCATTTGCGTCGCTTGTTTATAAAGGAGCGACGCAAATAACAAAAAAAGTTTATCTGAAAAGTCATTTGCGTCGCTTGTTTATAAAGGAGCGACGCAAATAACTAAAAATAAGTTTATCAGAAAAGTCATTTGCGTCGCCCTTTTATAAAGGAGTGACGCAAATGACTAAAAATAAGTTTATCAGAAAAGTCATTTGCGTCACTCTTTTATAAAGGAGTGACGCAAATAACAAAAAATAAGTTAATCAGAAAAGTCATTTGCGTCGCTCCTTTATAAAAGAGTGACGCAAATGACAAAAAATAAGTTTATCAGAAAAGTCATTTGCGTCGCTTATTTATAAAGGAGCGACGCAAATGACAAAAAATAAGTTTATCAAAAAAGTCATTTGCGTCGCTCCTTTACAAAGTGGCCCTGGCCTTGAGCTTGAGCTTAAGCTTGATGGTTTGAGGAAACAAAATAGCCGTTAAATACGAGTCTGGGCCGCACCTGTCATAGGAGAGTGCAAGTCCACCACTTTCAAGACCAAGAAGGTCCTACCTCAAAACCATATGACAATGAGAGGAATAGCCCCTTAGTCTTATATTGTAGTGCAGTGATAACTCTTGAATTCTTTCAATGTGGGAATCCATTACCACTACACTCTTCATTTTAAATGAACTAGTCTTTTGTCCCGTACAATGTACGGGCTTGTTATTGGTTTTTTTTTTTTTTTTTTTTTTTTTTTTTTTTTTGGTGCATGTAGTTTTATTTAATCATGAAATAGACAAATAGTAGTATGGAGACATCGGGGGTTTTGGTCGTGACTTATTTTGTGAGGAACAATAACTTTTTTTTTTTTTTTTTTTTGTTGTTGTTATTGTTGTTGTTTTGCATTATAATATGTTGAATTTGGCATTCAATGGATTGGTAAGCAATCAATAATTAGGAAGTTAGATTAGCAAAATATTATTGAATATATGTTTAAGTAACTATGTTTACATAAGATAGTTGGGGAATGGCCGAATGAGATAGCATTCTTCATATTGTAGCATCCACATTTTCCCGTCATGTCTTCATATTTAGTCTCCTCCATTTTGTATGTTGTGGATTTTATTTGTCTTCAAGTGGTTGTATTTCCGGGATTGACTCATCATTCCTGTAAACTGATTAAAATTTGAGTATTAGCTAGACTTAGGCTTATTAACAATTTTCCAGTTTTGACAATTGGGGGTTTCAATTAACAAAAATTCATGCATGTTTAAATTTTATTTCAATTTCAGCGAAAATTTAAATATAAATTCTACAAAAAAAAAATAAAAAAAAAAAAAAAATAATAATAATAATAATAATAATATAATAATAAAAGGCACAAGATGATAGTCACTCACCAAATGTGAATCTACATGTGAATTTGATTATGGAAGTACTATGTTATATAGAATTAATATTGTAGTGGCAGATGATTGAATAAATTCCGTACTAAAAAAGCATTAACATACATCATTATTATGTTCGGAATTTGTAACCGAAAACATGATTAAAGGAATTTAATTTGTGGGAATTGAAGAGGGGAGATGAGGAGGAAGAGTGTGGAATTATTTGTGGGTTTCCTGATGAAGATGAAGCGGTCATCGGATTACGGTGGGTTTTTGGTTTAATTTACAGATTTACATATACTCCATATTAAATTGTGTGGTGGAATGAAAGGTCAAAGCTAGCTTTTAGCTAACATAAAATCCAAACAGTTTAGCTTATACTCCAACTAATATCTCTAAATTATGCTCAGTTTTAAATTCTTAATTAATATTAATAATTTGATGACTAATTACTTTCCATTTAAATATTGATTTGTACACGTGGCACATTGTATTGGAATAATGAACACGTGGCACATTGGATTGGAATAGTGAGCATGTGGCACATTGGATTGGAAAAGAGAACATAGGATGAAGACATGTGTGTATCATGATTAGAGTTTTTAAAGACTAAGTATAGATATAGATTAGTGTGAGACAAGAGAATGCTTACATCTAGGTTGTTCCCGGGCTCAACAAGCATCCTTGGGCCATCGCAACCATCCGTATGAAACAAGCAGTTTAACAAATCCAAGCTCGGGAGGATTCACGTCTGGACAATATATTGAAATCGATATGATTACGCAAATGAATCGCACCCTCGCTAATGCTAATGCTATGATCCACCAACTTTTGAACTTTTGAAAGTTGTATAATTTCAAAAGGCACTATACAATGCAACCTCATCATGGCAAAGAGACAAGTCCTCTGTTCCATCCAAACTAATAGTCCGGCCTTTGAAAACTTTATTTCACAATAATCAATCTATAAACACACTTTTACAAAGTGTATATTTTACTTTTTACCGTTCTTTTATCATGTTATCTTTACAGTGTTATGGTAGTAATATTGTATTTCCTCTGTCCCTTAATTTTTGTTCCATAAAGAGTTGATACTTTACTAATTTTTGTTTGGAAAAAAAAAAGGAAATTTTAGAAAATAACACCACAAAAAAACACAAATTTTGTTTATAACACCACAAAAAAATAAATTTTGATTATAACACCACAAGAAAACACCAAAATTTGATTTAACCACCACTTAACGGATTCTTGGATGGAATCCGTTAGTGGGGCCCATAATTGACACGTGTCAATAACCTATAGGTTTAAAAAAGATGAAATAATAAAAAGAAAAAAAAATCCCTTAACCCGGCTAGCCCCACCACCGGCGCCACCTCGCTTTAGCCGCAACCACTATAACCCAGGCCGCCGCCGACACCTATCTCCCCAACCAAAACCGGCGACACCCATCTCCCCAACCAAAACCACCCCACAACGCCGAATTTCGCCTTCCCCCTCCCCGAAAACCACTCACGCCGCTGAACTCATACGACCAAACGTCCAAACCCGAAAACCACCCCACGCCGCCGAACTCCTACATCACGGCACCAATAGCTACCTCGGCTATATCACCACCATCGTCGCCAAAATCTTCTTCCTTACCTAGACCTTTCGTCGAAAATCGAAATCCCAACCCACATTACCCACAAACCTCCCTCACCTGAACCCTAACCCGTTTCAAGAAATCAAATTGAATCGGGGCTGGGCTGAGCTGGGTACGGTGTTTAAGGGTCAGCGTGGTGCTCGTTCAGGTGATCGGTCAAGGGTGGTCGGTCGAGGGTGGTCAGCTAGGGGAACCAGCAGCGCGGTGGGGGCAAGTGGAATGGCGCCGGTGGTGAGTGCGGTGGCTGGGTTAGGATTTTTCTTTTTTTTTGTGTTTTTTTTTTATCCAGTATATACTTGACACGTATACTAAGTGGGACCTAATTAAGGTTTTTTGGATGACGTTAGTAAGAGGTGGTGAAATCAATTTTTTTGGTTTTTTGGTGGTGTTATAATCAAACTTTTAAATTTTGTGGTGTTATAAACAAAATTTGTGTTTTTTTTGTGGTGTTATTTTCTAAAATTTCCAAAAAAAAAATGACAAGAGAGGTAAGTAGTGGGGTTAATGAGATGGTTGTGAGATTAAAGATGTGATCTTATTTGTCCAAAAATAAAATGGGGTAAAATTTAAATGACGACCTAAAGAAATTGAGGCAAAAAAATAAGTGACGGAGAGAGTAAAAGACTAAATTTAAACAATCGTCACGCCTAATCATCAGTTTCATCACGCACTTAAAATGCAGTCTGGTTGAAAAGAAAAAAGTACTCCGTAACATATATGTCAAGCCTGAAGAATATGTACTTCTTACTCCTAAACTATAAATATGTTAATCTTCTATTTAAAACTTTAAAGAACATTGTATGATAACAAACTCTGAAAAAGAATATAATGAATAATACACACACAAAATCATACTCGTAATACAAAGTTCATATATCAATAATCTAATAAATGAACCATTGTACCCCGTACACATTGAAAATACCATACAAGAAAAGAATGAATTGTTATTTTTTTTCTTATAAATACATTAATTTTGAGAGTTTGGAAGGAATAATTGAGGAATTACAACAAGTAGGAGCTTTGGAGAATGGTATTTTTTGGGTTAAATGGAGCATATATAGTTTAGTACGTAATTCACCGGTGACAATGGGTAAATGTCTACCCATTATTACAATTCCCTTTCATCCAATTTTCGTACTATTTCTACTTTGCAATAATTTAAAAAGGTAGATGCATGCAGTACATGCATGTCCCAAAACTTTATTTTGACCCCATCCAGCTCATTCATCTACTGCATGCAACTTTATCAGAAAAAAGGAAAGAAAAAAAACAGTAGATGGCCTAAGTTACCAGAAACAGACATGTTTGACTAATAATTAAAGTAATACTTACATGATTGTGATAACTTGAGGTGGTATTGTACAAAATGCGAATAATACATGGTGATATTTACTAAATTTTCCTATTTTTAATGCAAAATTGGCTCAACAACATTCTAAACTATGACTTATTTACACCAAATATTTTGTATATTGTGCAGTAATTAAAACACCACAAATTACTAACTTGGGTGCAAAGCATACCTTTAGTAAGCATTATGACCGCCTTTCTCATTACGTATTCATTGGTCATAAAAAAAATCGATTGTCTATTACAACTTATGTACTAAGAAAATATTATCATGATCTTATTAGAATTGTTCAAAGTTTAGTATCTAAAAAAATTATTTTAACACATAATTAAATATTATCATGATCTTATTAGTATCCATTGAATATATGTATTATAAACCGCATAAAATACAAGTGAGTGGAATATAAAAGGACAAAAGAAATATTATTTTGTTAAATATTAGTTGCAACTTTGGGTATTATTTGTGAAATAGGAAAAAATTTCAAAGTTACATTAGGGAAAATATATATGTCAGTTAAAAGAAATGAATAGTTAACTATCTCAGTTATTGAATCCTGTATTATACCGTTAAGGTTTGTAGGTTGGTTTACAAATACTAGTTTCTAGCCTCTTTGCGTATGATTTCTCAATTCACATTCTCAATAAAACCATAAACCAAAACACATTATAGTCTTTCTCGTAAGCCATACATTAAAACCAAAAGATTTCCAAAAAAAAAACAATGTTTGAGGTACGAGGCTTGTGTCTCCTCTTGCCACTGGTATGGTTGAGTTTAGCTAGTCTTACAATCACCACTTTAGCCACCACGCCCACCCCCTTTGCGAAACCCGGTTGCCAAACTAGGTGCGGAAACATAACTATCCCCTACCCGTTTGGTATCGGCTATGATGGCAAAAACGAGTCATGTTCCTTGAATAAATTCTACAACATAATTTGCAACAATAGTTTCAATCCTCCAAAACCCTTTCTGAATTACAGTAACAATATCGAGGTCCTTAACATATCCATTGAGGACCAACACATGCTTGCTAAGAGCTTTGTGGCAGCTACATATTACAGACAAGGTACACTTGTAAACAAAACTCATGTTTCTTCAGCAGAGACAGACCTAACCAGATATCCCCTCGTTATTTCCGACACCAAGAACAAGCCACTAGTAGAAAAAGGCTCATTTGCGTCGCCATATTTGCGTCACTCATTCTAAAGAACGAAGCAAATGTGTATTTTTACCATCCTTTAAAGTTATTTGTGTCGCTTGTTATTGAAGAAGCGACGCAAAAGTCAAGTGTATGTTAGCTTTCTATCATTTGCGTCGCTCTTATTTATTGAAGCGACGCAAATACTAAAATTATTTGCGTCACTCATTTATTGACAAGCGACGCAAATAAGGCAGTGAAGTAATTGCGTCACTCTTTTAATAAATGAGCGACGCAAATAACAAATTTTCAGCATTTCAGATTTTGTTATTTGCGTCGCATTTTTATTATAAAGTGACGCAAATAACTCTATTGGACTTTAGGTTATTCATTTCTGCGCTTTTTTGACCTTAGCTTTTCATGCCAATCTTTCACTAATTCACTAAATGAAAAAAACAGAGTTGATTGCTTCTACAGAAAACTGCAATTCGACCCTTCAATCCAACAAATTCGCCCAAAATTCACCCACAAATTCGCCCAAAAAACTGCAATTCCCCAGCAAATTCAACATCCAAAATCGCAATCAAGTTCAACACCCATAATCGGCAGCAAATCCGAGCAATTTCGAGCAAAAATTTAGACCAAAAACCCTAATTAATTCGAACCCTTCAACCCCAGAAAAATTGATTATTTTCGACTAAAAATCCCCCATTTCAAGCAAAAAATGTACTCAATTCCATACGAATTCGAACCCTAGAAACCCCAAAAAATTCAATTAAAAATCCTGCTGAAAAAATTCGAGCAATTATTGAAATTTTCGACTGGAAAAATCGCTTAATTTCGCCCCCAAAAACCCGAGGAAGTTCAAGCAAATTACAGCAATGTTGAATTTTTGAATTTTCGAGTGGAAAAATCGCATAATTTCGCCCCCAAAAATCGATTTCGGCTAGACATTGTTGAATTTTTGAAATCAATTTCACCTATGGTAAGATTGCTTCTATTTATGGTAGTTTAATTTCAGGTTTAGTGTTAGTTCACTAATTAGAAATTATATGGCAGATTTAATTGAATTTTTATAATTTCAGTCATTGAATTTTCATTGAGGCTCATCTCAATTCTACTGGTTTAATATATTCACCTGCATATTTTCAGCTAGTACATTTAGTCTTTAGATTTTTACAGTTGTTGTTTTGCAATATACTATTGGTTGCTTGTTTGCATCTTTGAACATTCATTGTTTTTTCTTTAGTTTTATGGGTCATGTGAAAATATTGATAACTGATCAGATATATGAAGTTGCCATTACCAGAATTAGTATGCCTTCATCTATAATCAGAATGCACATTCAACTGCCCTACATGAGTTCAGTGCCAACTGGGTCCACGAGAAAATGGAAAGAAAGAGTATTCTGGCTGATTGGCAGCAATTTTGATTCCCACAACTGCTAATTCATAGTTTGCAACCAAAAAAAAATGGTGATAACTGATAAGTTACTGCACTGTACTATAATAACCTGTCATTGTTGAACAAGGTTTAATGTAGGAGTAGAAGAAAATACTGAAGGTCATAATATCTGCTTAATTCCCGTATCATGCTCAGCTAATTTTCACTTTTTTTACTACTATTTTTAGAAAATTAAAACCATCACATAAATCATCATAGAGTAGGTCCATTTGGCTATGAATAAGATTATAAGAGAATCCTAAGGTTAGCAAGAAAGAATTCAAAGAAAGCAGAACATATTCATGAAAAATTGATCTTCTGAAAGTGTTTGGCTTTCAATTCACTAGAATGGAGGAAGCCATCTTACAAACTGACCAACACAAAGAGTTCCACAGAGATCAACTTGGAAGACTACATTCCACCAGTCAGATATTTGCATACTAAACAATATTGATTATTGATAAATAGTCTTACATGTTTATACTCTGAACTCTCCATAAAGATCCCACTGGTAGAAGCCTACTTTTTTAACCAACTACGGGCCTGCTTCACTAGCAAGCTCTTCGATATTCCATCGATCAAGTAAATGAGCGGTCTTGTGAGTTACCTCTCCATTTTATGTCTGTTGCTGTAATGTTTTATCCATTTTTCCTTCTCATCAGGTTCATCATAGATCACCAATTGCTTTTCCAATAATAATATAATATTACTTTCAGTGCCCATTTTCTCTACATTTAGTCTGTAGATTTTTACAGTTGCTGTTTTGCAATATACTACTGGTTTGCAGCTGCATCTTTGAGCTGCTGGTTTGCATCTTTGAACATTCATTGTTTTTTCTTTAATTTTATGGGTCATGTGACATCTATGGTTCTTTGAATGTCTTATTAAAATTATTTTTTATCGTTTAATTTTTTTAAAGGCATCATCATAATGGGTGATGGGAAGCACGAATTGGGCGCGTTTATGAGAACAAGTACCTCTACTTAGGCACTTACAGTAATGTCCTGAACTCTATTTCTCTCGTGCTCGCTCTTGTTCTATGAGATTTAGGATCACGAGCACACACGCAACTATGTTGGTTTAATATATGTAATTTTTTATGGCAGATTCTTAATTATGCGGAAGTGAATTCCACAAGTTTCTCGAGGTTCTGGTTGTGGACAAACGATTAAGGCGGTAGTACGCATACGAGATTGTCTTCACTTGTGGTATATATATCTGAACCATTCTTTGCAATATTAACTTATTTGTTCTGGTTGGTATAATGATTGTGAATTGTATGTGATTTTTAATTGTGATATAATTGATTGGAATTGCAATAATACTTGCATCATTGGCTTAGATACCCGTTCAGGGCTTACTCATTAGGAGTAAGTCTTGAATAGTCCCCGGTTTGGGACTGTTCTTGAATGTTCTATCTCATTTAGGTGATAACTACTTGAATTGTTTTGGGTCTAAGAAGATCATGGCTCACTATTTCCCGATTGTTCTCTGGGTACATATGTTGATAGCCGATTATCTACATTGTGTGCTTGGAGAACTATAGGGAAATGCTTCCGGATTTTCTTTAGAACCAAAATTTACAAGTAGTTATTAGTGAGATAGGACATTCAAGAATGGGTTAGGTTGGAGTGATAAGGACCTTATTGGATCATCCGGAGTTGCATTTACATGATAAAAACTTTGAATGAAAATGTTTGATGCCTTATATTCTTGTTTATGGTTAAGGAGCTATATATGTTACAAAATATACACATTATCTTAAAATTAATTTTGTTATTCAGTGGTTGAAAATGGATCGAAGTTGGATGTATGGTAAACAAAATTGTACAAGTTTTTTACAAGGAACTGAAGAGTTTAGCACTGTTGCCTTAAAACACCAAACAGAGAATAAATCAAAGATTATTCTTTGTCCTTGTTGTGACTGTAATAATTCGAGGGGATATCGTGATATAGTTGATATTAAAGATCATCTAATTCGTCGTGGGTTTAAAGAAAACTACACGAGGTGGACATGGCATGGTGAGAGCATATATATTGAGGCAAGTTCTAGTTATTGTCCAAGGGAAGATGAGAATCATTGTGATGATGATAATGAACACCAAGGTGAGGATATCGATACAGCTGATGATATTGGTGTTGAAAGTGAGAGTGAAGTGGAGAAGGACAGGATAGATGAAATGATGCATGATGTTGAAGACCACTTCACGGAGTGTCCCCAGACATATGATAGTATTTTGAGAGCTGCTGAAACCCCGTTATATCCTGGTTGTACAAAGTTCACTAAACTTGGTGCTATTATGAAGTTATTCAACTTAAAGGCGAGCAATTGTTGGACCGACAAGGGTTTTACGCAGTTGTTAGAAGCCTTAGTAGAAATGTTTCCCGACGGGAATGAACTTCCAAACTCCACCTATGAGGCCAAGAAACTTATGTGCCCCTTGGGTATGGAGTATGAAAAGATACATGCTTGTCCCAATGACTGTGTGTTATATCGAAATGAGTATGCTGATTTGCATGAGTGTCCAAGGTGTGGAGTTTCTCGTTACAAGATGAATGATACTGGTGAGATGTGTAAGAAAGGGTCTCCGGCTAAAGTATTATGGTATCTTCCAATTATACCGAGATTTAGGAGACTCTTCTCGGATGAAAAAACTGCAAAATTATTGAGGTGGCATGCTGATGGGAGGAAGAAAGATGGGTTAATGAGGCATCCTGCTGATTCCCCGCAATGGAGGAACATTGATCGAAAGTTCAAGGACTTTGGTGAAGAAGATCGAAATCTTAGGCTTGGTCTTAGTACAGGTGGAATGAACCCATTTGGGACACTAAGTACCCAATATAGCACCTGACCGGTTCTTCTAACTATCTACAATTTGCCTCCTTGGTTATGCATGAAGTCTAGATACATTATGTTGTCCCTTCTAATATCTGGGCCTAAACAACCTGGAAATGACATTGATGTGTATCTAGCGCCTCTCATTGAAGATTTGAAATTGTTGTGGAATGAAGGTGTCCAAATGTTTGATGCATATAGTAAAACCAATTTCACTTTACGTGCCATGATTTTTTGTACGATAAATGACTTCCCAGCTTATGGGAATTTGTCGGGGTACACTGTGAAGGGAAGAACTCCTTGCCCCATTTGTGAAGATGATCCATTTGCAAACATACAGGTATCCAAAACTTTGTTATTTTATATTTTTTATCTTTTTTTTTAATTATTTATGACTGCGACATACTTTTAACTTTGTAACTCAGTTTTCTATATTTTTTAATTATGAGTTTTTTCTATCTTTGTAAGGAACCGGTTCCTTGTCGGCTATCATTGTTGAAAAATGACTCTGAGAAAGTCATTGTAGCTGAAGGTACATATCATCCGGAGTTAATCCTTGATCATCATAGTAACCTCCTTCCGGATCACGTGAGGGTGAGTGTTGATGATTTTTTTGACGAGTTCAAAGAATTCTCGGTTCCAGTTCCTTCTTCAGTCATCAAGAAACTTAAGCATGCTCACAGTACATTTACCCAATGGCCGAAAGACTTGGTTTCACTCATGCATGACAAGGTAAATTATTTTTGTAACAATTTACATATAGTTTGCCATACAAAATATAGCAAATTGTTGAACAGATTTGCTTTACTATTGATTAGGAATTCATATCAAATAAGAACAATGGTAACAACAAAGCGGCCAAAGAAAACATGCAAGACAAACTGAAAGTAGTTGAAAGTGGTCGCGAAACAAAAGAGTCCAACACCAATCCAAAAAAAGTTTTTCTTATGGATTATGCTTTGGAAAACTTGTCTCAGAAGTGTGGGTCTTTGAATAGTTTGTTATCTTCATTACCCGAAGGTGAAACTATTAAGGTTAAGGCTGATGCTTGGACCTTTAGTTATGAAGACAGTAAGGACATCATTATCAAACGTGAAGATGTCAATCAACTTCTCACAGGAGCTTGGCTGAATATTTCAGTTTTGCAAGTGTTTATGATGTAAGATATTCAAATTTCACTCTTCCCATATACTTATTTATTACTATTTATAATGTTATTACATGAAATATATGTAGGGCCTTGAGTGACTTACTCGATATGGAGGAAGTGGCTTCCATTGGATTCATGTGTCCGGAAATGATTTCAGAAACCTATTTGCATAGTGATGCTGATCGTATCCTACTATACATGACACATGTGATGGAAAAACAAAAATCTAAGCAATTCATCTTATGCCCATACCATGAAAAGTATAAACTTTGAACTTGTATTTATTTGAACTTTGCAAATTGTTGATATTATTTTACTCTTTTACAAATGTGTGTCTAATTTATTATGTAGGAATCATTGGGTTCTTTTAGTCTTATGCATGGCTAAGCGTGAAGTCATCATCTTTGATTCTTTGAGGCAGAAGCGAAATTTAGCAATTAAGTTTGCAATGACAAAGTAAGTCTAGTTTGTTATTAATGTCATGATTTTATGTGTGTAAGAGTAATATATATGTTATTTGTTTCAAATGTGTAGTGCTTTTCGAAGTTTTAAGGCATTAAGTGGAAAATCTAGGGGAAGTAAATTGACATGGCATTTGGGACAGGTTACCTTAATTTCTTACCCTAACTTTTAGTTTCTTAATAATTGAAGTATAGCAATTTAATTCGACTTACAAATATATTACATGTAGTGTCCTCAACAATTGGGTGGACGTGAGTGTGGCTACTACGTCATGCGTTATATGTACGAAATACTTGAACATCACCATAGCAGTGAAGATCTTATTCAGGTATGAGTTGTCAAATATTTCATTTTTGTTTGATAAATACAATTTGATGTTAGCTACAATCTTGAATTAAAACTTTCCTCTTGTATATTTGTTGTGTTGATAGAATTTTTCAAGAACTACACCTTACACCGAGGAGGAGATAAATGAGATCCGAGATATTTGGGCAGAGTATTTTATATGTAATGTTGAACTTTAGATTTACCACTTAGCGCATGTTTGACTCTTGTTTTGGATTATAGGCTTGAAATGAAGTAATTTGGTTAATTGGTGTTGGGATGATGAGTATAATGTCTATGATATTGAGATGTAAATTATTGGACAGGTTGTTAATATAATGCCGTCATTCCCAATTTTATGGGTAGGCCAAATGACAAAGGAGACTCTGCCAAAATTTACATTTGCATTATTCAATAATATTGCATTTTAATTTCAATTATATTAGCGTTAGCATATTACTTTATACCTAGGAAAACAGGTACTACAAACATATACAAGGCAATTATTATATTATAATTAAAAAAAAAATTCACCTCATTTGCGTCACTCATTAAACAAACAAGTGACGCAAATACAGCAGTTTTGTATTGTCTACTCAGTCATTTGCGTCACTCCTATATAAACAAGTGACGCAAATAACAAAAAATAAGTTAATTGGAAGAGTCATTTGCGTCGCTTGTTTATAAAGGAGCGACGCAAATAACAAAAAAAGTTTATCTGAAAAGTCATTTGCGTCGCTTGTTTATAAAGGAGCGACGCAAATAACTAAAAATAAGTTTATCAGAAAAGTCATTTGCGTCGCCCTTTTATAAAGGAGTGACGCAAATGACTAAAAATAAGTTTATCAGAAAAGTCATTTGCGTCACTCTTTTATAAAGGAGTGACGCAAATAACAAAAAATAAGTTAATCAGAAAAGTCATTTGCGTCGCTCCTTTATAAAAGAGTGACGCAAATGACAAAAAATAAGTTTATCAGAAAAGTCATTTGCGTCGCTTATTTATAAAGGAGCGACGCAAATGACAAAAAATAAGTTTATCAAAAAAGTCATTTGCGTCGCTCCTTTACAAAGTGGCCCTGGCCTTGAGCTTGAGCTTAAGCTTGATGGTTTGAGGAAACAAAATAGCCGTTAAATACAAGTCTGGGCCGCACCTGTCATAGGAGAGTGCAAGTCCACCACTTTCAAGACCAAGAAGGTCCTACCTCAAAACCATATGACAATGAGAGGAATAGCCCCTTAGTCTTATATTGTAGTGTAGTGATAACTCTTGAATTCTTTCAATGTGGGAATCCATTACCACTACACTCTTCATTTTAAATGAACTAGTCTTTTGTCCCGTACAATGTACGGGCTTGTTATTGGTTTTTTTTTTTTTTTTGGTGCATGTAGTTTTATTTAATCATGAAATAGACAAATAGTAGTATGGAGACATCGGGGGTTTTGGTCGTGACTTATTTTGTGAGGAACAATAACTTTTTTTTTTTTTTTTGTTGTTATTGTTGTTGTTGTTTTGCATTATAATATGTTGAATTTGGCATTCAATGGATTGGTAAGCAATCAATAATTAGGAAGTTAGATTAGCAAAATATTATTGAATATATGTTTAAGTAACTATGTTTACATAAGATAGTTGGGGAATGGCCGAATGAGATAGCATTCTTCATATTGTAGCATCCACATTTTCCCGTCATGTCTTCATATTTAGTCTCCTCCATTTTGTATGTTGTGGATTTTATTTGTCTTCAAGTGGTTGTATTTCCGGGATTGACTCATCATTCCTGTAAACTGATTAAAATTTGAGTATTAGCTAGACTTAGGCTTATTAACAATTTTCCAGTTTTGACAATTGGGGGTTTCAATTAACAAAAATTCATGCATGTTTAAATTTTATTTCAATTTCAGCGAAAATTTAAATATAAATTCTACAAAAAAAAAATAAAAATAAAAAAAAAAAAAAATAATAATAATAATAATAATAATAATAATAATAATAATAATAATAATAATAAAAGGCACAAGATGATAGTCACTCACCAAATGTGAATCTACATGTGAATTTGATTATGGAAGTACTATGTTATATAGAATTAATATTGTAGTGGCAGATGATTGAATAAATCTCCGTACTAAAAAAGCATTAACATACATCATTATTATGTTCGGAATTTGTAACCGAAAACATGATTAAAGGAATTTAATTTGTGGGAATTGAAGAGGGGAGATGAGGAGGAAGAGTGTGGAATTATTTGTGGGTTTCCTGATGAAGATGAAGCGGCCATCGGATTACGGTGGGTTTTTGGTTTAATTTACAGATTTACATATACTCCATATTAAATTGTGTGGTGGAATGAAAGGTCAAAGCTAGCTTTTAGCTAACATAAAATCCAAACAGTTTAGCTTATACTCCAACTAATATCTCTAAATTATGCTCAGTTTTAAATTCTTAATTAATATTAATAATTTGATGACTAATTACTTTCCATTTAAATATTGATTTGTACACGTGGCACATTGTATTGGAATAATGAACACGTGGCACATTGGATTGGAATAGTGAGCATGTGGCACATTGGATTGGAAAAGAGAACATAGGATGAAGACATGTGTGTATCATGGTTAGAGTTTTTAAAGACTAAGTATAGATATAGATTAGTGTGAGACAAGAGAATGCTTACATCTAGGTTGTTCCCGGGCTCAACAAGCATCCTTGGGCCATCGCAACCATCCGTATGAAACAAGCAGTTTAACAAATCCAAGCTCGGGAGGATTCACGTCTGGACAATATATTGAAATCGATATGATTACGCAAATGAATCGCACCCTCGCTAATGCTAATGCTATGATCCACCAACTTTTGAACTTTTGAAAGTTGTATAATTTCAAAAGGCACTATACAATGCAACCTCATCATGGCAAAGAGATAAGTCCTCTGTTCCATCCAAACTAATAGTCCGGCCTTTGAAAACTTTATTTCACAATAATCAATCTATAAACACACTTTTACAAAGTGTATATTTTACTTTTTACCGTTCTTTTATCATGTTATCTTTACAGTGTTATGGTAGTAATATTGTATTTCCTCTGTCCCTTAATTTTTGTTCCATAAAGAGTTGATACTTTACTAATTTTTGTTTGGAAAAAAAAAAAGGAAATTTTAGAAAATAACACCACAAAAAAACACAAATTTTGTTTATAACACCACAAAAAAATAAATTTTGATTATAACACCACAAGAAAACACCAAAATTTGATTTAACCACCACTTAACGGATTCTTGGATGGAATCCGTTAGTGGGGCCCATAATTGACACGTGTCAATAACCTATAGGTTTAAAAAAGATGAAATAATAAAAAGAAAAAAAAATCCCTTAACCCGGCTAGCCCCACCACCGGCGCCACCTCGCTTTAGCCGCAACCACTATAACCCAGGCCGCCGCCGACACCTATCTCCCCAACCAAAACCGGCGACACCCATCTCCCCAACCAAAACCACCCCACAACGCCGAATTTCGCCTTCCCCCTCCCCGAAAACCACTCACGCCGCTGAACTCATACGACCAAACGTCCAAACCCGAAAACCACCCCACGCCGCCGAACTCCTACATCACGGCACCAATAGCTACCTCGGCTACATCACCACCATCGTCGCCAAAATCTTCTTCCTTACCTAGAGCTTTCGTCGAAAATCGAAATCCCAACCCACATTACCCACAAACCTCCCTCACCTGAACCCTAACCCGTTTCAAGAAATCAAATTGAATCGGGGCTGGGCTGAGCTGGGTACGGTGTTTAAGGGTCAGCGTGGTGCTCGTTCAGGTGATCGGTCAAGGGTGGTCGGTCGAGGGTGGCCAGCTAGGGGAACCAGCAGCGCGGTGGGGGCAAGTGGAATGGCGCCGGTGGTGAGTGCGGTGGCTGGGTTAGGATTTTTCTTTTTTTTTGTGTTTTTTTTTATCCAGTATATACTTGACACGTATACTAAGTGGGACCTAATTAAGGTTTTTTGGATGACGTTAGTAAGAGGTGGTGAAATCAATTTTTTTGGTTTTTTGGTGGTGTTATAATCAAACTTTTAAATTTTGTGGTGTTATAAACAAAATTTGTGTTTTTGGTGGTGAAATACAATTTGATGTTAGCTACAATCTTGAATTAAAACTTTCCTCTTGTATATTTGTTGTGTTGATAGAATTTTTCAAGAACTACACCTTACACCGAGGAGGAGATAAATGAGATCCGAGATATTTGGGCAGAGTATTTTATATGTAATGTTGAACTTTAGATTTACCACTTAGCGCATGTTTGACTCTTGTTTTGGATTATAGGCTTGAAATGAAGTAATTTGGTTAATTGGTGTTGGGATGATGAGTATAATGTCTATGATATTGAGATGTAAATTATTGGACAGGTTGTTAATATAATGCCGTCATTCCCAATTTTATGGGTAGGCCAAATGACAAAGGAGACTCTGCCAAAATTTACATTTGCATTATTCAATAATATTGCATTTTAATTTCAATTATATTAGCGTTAGCATATTACTTTATACCTAGGAAAACAGGTACTACAAACATATACAAGGCAATTATTATATTATAATTAAAAAAAAAAATTCACCTCATTTGCGTCACTCATTAAACAAACAAGTGACGCAAATACAACAGTTTTGTATTGTCTACTCAGTCATTTGCGTCACTCCTATATAAACAAGTGACGCAAATAACAAAAAATAAGTTAATTGGAAGAGTCATTTGCGTCGCTTGTTTATAAAGGAGCGACGCAAATAACAAAAAAAGTTTATCTGAAAAGTCATTTGCGTCGCTTGTTTATAAAGGAGCGACGCAAATAACTAAAAATAAGTTTATCAGAAAAGTCATTTGCGTCGCCCTTTTATAAAGGAGTGACGCAAATGACTAAAAATAAGTTTATCAGAAAAGTCATTTGCGTCACTCTTTTATAAAGGAGTGACGCAAATAACAAAAAATAAGTTAATCAGAAAAGTCATTTGCGTCGCTCCTTTATAAAAGAGTGACGCAAATGACAAAAAATAAGTTTATCAGAAAAGTCATTTGCGTCGCTTATTTATAAAGGAGCGACGCAAATGACAAAAAATAAGTTTATCAAAAAAGTCATTTGCGTCGCTCCTTTATAAAGGAGCGACGCAAATGACTCAAAAGTCATTTGCGTCGCGAGCAGTTGCGTCGCTCATAGAAGCGACGCAAATACACTATAAATGAGCGACGCAAATAAGCCTTTTTCTACTAGTGAGCTCTTCGCCATTGGTTGCGATGATTATGCCGTGATTGACAGCGTTAGGGCCTCTACTGGTTCTGGCTTCAGAAGTGGGTGCATTGTTGGGTGCCGTAATGTATCAGAAGTTATAAACGGGTCGTGTTCAGGTATCGGTTGTTGTCAAACAGCCATCCCAAATGGGCTGTATAATTTTACCTTACAATTAGGAAGTTTTGAGGATCACCGAATAGTGAACGAAGATAATCCATATGGATATGCTTTCATAGGGGATCCGAGTAGATTCAAGTTCAATGTCGCTGACCTTAGTGACCCTAATTTCGTGGATAGAACTCTAGACAGTGTTCCGGTCGTGCTTGAATGGTCTGTTTGGGATGATAATTTTTCAACTACTTGTGAAAAAGCTAAGAAAAACATGTCCATCTATGCTTGCTTCAATAATAGCAATTGCAACGATTACGACGGTCCCGGTCGGGGATACACTTGCAGTTGTCTTCCTGGTTATCAGGGTAATCCTTATCTTCCTCCGGGATGTACAGGTCAGTTACTACTAACTACAAAGTATGAATGCACTTCCTTTTTTTTCTTTCTTTTTTTCTAAGTCGTACCATATTAACTTTGGACAAGTAATATTTATGACATGATTGAGTACATAAAACAATTTTGGGCTAACTTCATCCATTAGCTTAGGGTCTGATTGAATGAGCTGAGCTGAAGTGAATTTAACTTAATTGAACTTAACTGAACTGAACTTATTAGAGCTGAATTGAATTGAATATTTTATAAGAGAAGGAAATTAGGAGTTCAACTGAACTGAATTTATTAGAGCTCAGCTAAACTGAATTTATTAGAGCTGAACTGAACTGAACTGAACTGAACTGGACTTATTAGAGTTGAATTGAACTGAACTGAAAATAATCGTATCAGAACAGACACTTAATAAGCTTTTGATTGCGTTGGTTCTTTATCATGATATAAGAGTCATGAAAATTCTATGGCTGTGATATAATGATTTTTGAATATTTTTTTAAATGTTAAAAGTAATTAAAATTCATTTTTCTTATTTCAGGAATTCACTTAAAAATTTTGAAAATTAATCATTCAAATTTTTTATAATTATTTTACGAAATTCAATTTTAATTATTAATAAAATAAAATAACCAGAAAATAAATTAAATTTTAATCATAAAAATAATTAAGTTGATTTTAAATAGTTTAAACATTTAAATATAATTCAAAGTTCATTAAATCTTAATTGTACAAATTAAACATTATGGTTTCATTTTTCAAACGACAACTATAGAATAATCTATAAAGTCAACATGACACAAAGATCATGGGCTAGTAATAATAACATTATTATGGACCTGAGTTCCACTAGCATGTAACTAGCATTATTTTGAACATATAGTTACCATAATTTTAACATAGTGACATTAAATATTATTGTGAACTAAAATGCACATGTGTAGCCTTTTAAATTGAACATTGTGAACTAAAATGCACATGTGTAGCCTTTTCAATTGAACATAGTGATAATTTCAACGTAGTGGTCTTTATTATTTATTTATATAAGATTATTAGTATTTACTAACAACAATTCTGTCTTTGTTGCGGATGGTTATTTACTAGTACTTCATATTATTATTATTATTATTATTATTATTATTATTATTATTATTATACATTGCACGAACTACCACCTCTTTTCCAAACCTTCCTAATTGACGTCATTGTGGACCATACTACCAACTTAAATCTAAACAAAATCTTGTATGATGTGGCTTTAGTACTTATAATAGAGAGTTTTTATAGCAATAGCTTGTAAATATTTATCATACAAGATAGAATTTAACACATAAAAAGAAATTGATCTGATGGAGTGCGATGATAGTACTACTAAGTAATTGGCTTGTTTCCTATGAATTAAAGTTCTTGGTAGAAATTCCTCTATGCAGATATCGATGAGTGTGCAAATTTATCAAGAACCCGTTGTTCTCAAAATTGTATAAACACTCCGGGTGGTTACAACTGCTCTTGTTCGAATGGATATCATGGAGATGGTTGGTTTAATGGAACTTCTTGTGTTAGAGAATTTGTACCGGATCGTCCAAATGTAGCTGTATATGTGAGTGCAACTTTGGGATCACTACTCTTGCCTCCAATTGGGTGGTGGTTGTACGTAGTGATAAAAAAAAGAAAGGTTATCAAGCAAAAAGCTAGAAACTTTCAGAAAAATGGTGGTTTATTGTTACAGCATCGTATGTCGTCTGATGAACGCATTGTAGAAAGAACATATTTCTTCACCATTGATGAATTGGAGAAAGCCACGGACCACTTCAATGAGAGCAGGATACTTGGACGAGGAGGCCAAGGTACTGTTTATAAAGGAATGCTAGGTGAAGGGAGACTTGTTGCTGTAAAAAAGCCTAAGACGTTGAAAGAAAGCCAACAAGAAGATTTCATCAATGAATTGGTTATCATGTCTCAAATAATTCATAGGAGTATAGTCAAGTTACTAGGATGTTGTTTTGAATCAGAAATCCCATTACTAGTTTACGAGTATATCCCCAACGGAACTCTTTCCAATCATCTCCATCACCTGAATGAAGAGTTCCCTATCACTTGGAGAATGCGCATGCAAATTGCTTCTGATGTAGCTGGAGCACTTGTTTATTTGCATTCTTTTTCCAATGTTCCCATCCTTCATAGGGACATCAAATCTTCAAACATTCTTTTGGATGATAAGTATAGGGCAAAGTTATCAGATTTTGGGCTATCAAAAAATGTAGCTCCCGATCAAACCCATGTAACCACTCATGTTATGGGAACATTTGGTTATTTGGATCCTGAATATTCCCATACTTGCCAATATACCGTGAAGAGTGATGTTTACAGTTTTGGTGTGGTCCTTGTTGAACTTATAACAGGACAAAAAGCAATACGTGCTGTTTATGAACAAGGTAGAAGTTTGGTGTCGTGGTTTCTTTCTCATGTAAAAAACTCTCAAGTCCTTGACATTATGGATCCTCAAGTTCTTAAAGAGGGTTTGGAGGAAGAACTTTGCGCTATTGCTAATCTTGCAACACAATGCCTGGATCCAAAATGAAAGAAGTTCTTATAGTACTAGAGACAGAAGAGTCGCATCATGTACAATTGCCCCAATTGGAAGAAGCACAAATGAGCCCAAAATTTGAGCAAGTAGTGTTGGCTGCTGAATCAGCAAACATTTCATTCCATGACAATGTTGCAACTTCCTCCGCATCTGGCATGTAAACCCATTAATCTCGTTCAGCTGATTTGTGTTTGTAATATCTTTAGTGGTTGGTCATATACAGACCTTTATTTGCATAGCTCGACTATTTAACTCTATGTGTTATAGTTTTTTTAAAAATGATTTAATAGTTTTAAAAATGATTTCTTTCTATTTTATTTAGAAGGCTATGTTCAATCTAGTTGTTTGGTCCATGGTGCAGTGGGTGTAAATCTTGCTTTTATAATTAATATTATTAAAGCTTAGGCGGTCTCCAAACATGTTGTCAGTAAGATTCAATTCAAATATAATGTAAATAATTTTTACTTTCAAGCCTTTAAAATCCCACTAGCTCGAACCCCACTGTGATCATACACTAAAGTACGGTGGCGTTCAAAAGGGAAGAAGATAGAGCAAAAGAGTCGCCAACAAGTTTTAGGAACTTGTAAACCGTTCATAGGAGAAAGGTTACACCCCTTAACGATCCAAGAGATCGTCAACTCCATAAGGTCTAGAACCAAATAAGGGTTCGGGGATGAAGGTACAAATCCAACCTAAAAGAGATTGAACCTGCCCTAATAATAGTCCTCTACTTTATTCTGATCGTATTCATGTGCGCTTTCCGACTAACATACAATCATTAGGATTAACCCTAAACCTATTTATCTATGTTGGTTGAATATTAATGCACAAATAAAACTATTATTGGCGATCACTTGAATTATAATCAAATTAACCCTAACAAGATTATTAATTATCTCATTAAGCGTGATGACAAATACCAAATTCCCTTTAACATGCATAAAAGGCGTGATCAAGCAATAAATATAAATAATATCAAGCAACATAATAAATAATAAATATCATGAATAAAAATCATCATAAAAATAATAATAATAATCATCATTATAACAATTATAATCCTAATCATGTTCATGTTAATATTAAAGCATAATAATTGCAAGATCCTAGGCATGATACTAACAAGATTAATTACAAACCCTAGCATGTCACTAAACAATAAAAATCAAAGCTTTAACCTTAACATGATACTAACAATCATAAATATTAGGAAGAACATAGGAAGCATCATAGACATGATACTAGGAATATCATAATAACAATGTAAACATGATTTCTACATCATAATATCAATTAATCAATAAAGTACTTACTTTGATGCCTCGTACCTCTTTCTAATAACGAAATACACACGTTAGTAACTTCAAAAAAAAAATAATAATCAAACAATTAAATTAAATAATTGAAAGAGAGATTTGGGACCAAACCCTCAGAAATTAAACCTTTCACGTCTAGGGCGAAGGCAACTTCGAATATGGCTAGGTGTTTCTAGATCTTGTGAATGCGGAATTTTGTATGAGAAAACAAAGTTTTGAAGAAAGAAAGAAATGAACGATTAAGAGAGAATTAAAGAATGCTAATGAATGAATGATGATAACTGATTGTAGGTGAATAACTTGCGAATAAAGAGCATTGGTGAATGAAAACGGAGTTTTTAATATGATATTTATAGAGAAAATCATCCAAAAAAGACAAATTAACAAAACAGAGTCTGACGCTCAGGAAACAGAGCTGGCACAAGCCCTGGCTAGCTGGCGCCAGGCGCCAGCACTAGCGCCAGTCGCCAATGGCTAGTGCCAGGCGCCAAGGCCTGGGGTTGGATGCCAAGCTTGATTTCAACACGTTTTCGAAAATCCGATAAGTTTACCGTACTGGAGGATAAAATAATATAATTTCTTCAAAATGCTATTTGATTTTGATTAAAACTCTGAAAAGTCAACAAAGTCAACTTATCAATGCTAATTGAATTAGCAATGAAAAGAACCTTCTAGAAGAATCTAGAAGACTAAAACCATTCCAAATTGCATTAGGAATGATAAATCATATTAGGCCCTCCCCTAGATCATTAGGCCGCATATAAAGCTCAAACCGGGCCCAGTTTGGTAAATTAGCCATAACTTCCTCAATATTCATCGGAATTGGGCTTATAATATATCGTTGGAAAGGTCTTTGCAAGCCCCATCCAACTACACCACTATTGGACCCATATCATGGACCAACCAAACTGTATTGGCTGTTTATTAAAATAAAGTTTTCAAAAAACAGAGAGAAGAGAAAAGAAATAAAAACTATCCACAACACTAGACCTTTCCACACTTTCGTTTCATTCGATTATGATTCGACGTGAAAGGTATTCATCACCGGGTTTTGTTTTGGGGAGACACAAATGGGTGTCTACAGAAGCCCCCACTTTGACTGAGTTTGGAGAAACGCAAGTTTCGAAAACAAAAGTCAAAGTATCGATAGGGACGGAGAATGATTTAGAACGTTCTGCGATCCTAAATCACTCTTGTAACGCCGATATCTGCAAAACTAGCGTTTGTTAAACAGATAAAAGAGTTAAGAAACGTGTATCTTGCACCGTTGAGCACACGTCTCTGAAAGTAACCGATTGTTTTGATGACCTCCTGCAAGCTAGAGAATGCCATCCCGCTTGAAAACCGCTACGCCTGTAACTGCTTCCAAATTAGAAGATTGCTTCACCTAAAACTATCCTCCTCCGCTTTGATAATATTCCACGTCCAAGGGAATACCATCGAAGATTATTTCTCTTGAAACAATCCTCAATCGCATTGACAATATTCCACATCCTAGGGAATACTATCGAAGATTATTTCGCTCGAAATTACCTCCAGTTGTTTGTGACAACTTTCCTTAAGCTAGGGAATGTCACCTTGCTGCTTTGACGTTATGAACAAAGAGCTTCTCTTTCCTGCTGTGATAGTCTTCGAAAAGATCACTGCTTTTTAATATTTGCTATACCAGTACATCGGCGCTTTGCTGCTTGTGAACCAGTATGTCGGTGCTTTTGTTGTGATGACAATCCTCTTTTCTTTGGGAATAGTTTCCAACACAACTCTTGTATGATGTATGACAATCCGATTTAGGGAAAGTTGTCAAAATCCAATCTTTGGAAAAGTTGCCAATGCTTCATAACAATCTTTCATAAGAACTTTGCTATGATCGACAATCCACATCTTGGAATATAACTCTTGAAAGCAATCCATCTTGGAAATTTGCTAACGCTTATGCGACAATCCTTTTGGGGAAATATTGCCACTATTGACAATCCGCATCTTGGAACACTTGCAAAAAAGAGTCGACCGACAATCCTCTTTGGAAAAATTTGCCACTTATTGAAATGAATGATAATCCACGTTGAGGAACCTTTGTCGAAATTTATGATGAGTAAAGACCTACAACAATCCTTTGGGAAATTTTGCCATAGAGAACTAGGTGTATGACAATCGAATCTCGGAAAACTTGCCAAAGATCCATGAATGTATGACAATCCGAACTTGGAAAAACTTGCCAAACAAAGTAGGAGCACGACAATCCACGCTTGGAAACTTTGCCAGAGATGACAATCCAAACTTTGGAAAAATTGTCGTTACATGACAATCCATTTTTGGAAATATTGTCAGTTAGGGATGACAATCCAATTTTTGGAAAACTTTGTCGTTTAATAAGTATGCGCGACAATCCATATTTGGAAACATTGTCGTTTGAGTGCTTGCTTTTGAACCGATGCTTTGGTGCTTGTAATGAGCCAATACTTAGGCGCTTAAGCTAAGTGAGACGATCTTTCGTCAGGTCAATCACTTAGACTGTAATCAAACCGACTACTTAATCATGTCAAATTGCTTATAGGGGCTAACTGGCGTACCAAGGAACCCGAAATCGCCGTATGAGGCCGAAATCACCTTTTTGAGAGGCTTCGAGCTCTATTGCTGCTGAGATATCTCTGGCGCCAAGAATTGACTCTGTCGCCGAACGCTGTGATAGGGTCTTCCCTATTCTGCTGCACCTGTATTTATTTTGACTATAGAACTTTGCCAATCTTTTTAATTATCTTAGGGTTGACCTAAGGCTTAATGTTGCTTGACTAATCGACTTGACACGACTCAAGGTATAAACTTGACTCGCTGTAATCGACTGACTCGAGGTTGACTCGACTCGAAGTGAAAAGACACGTGTGACTCATGAGCCGTGTGTGCATTGTAATGTGATCGTGCGACTCAAAAATGCAAAAAAGCAAAAATTTTCCGTCATTTTTGTGGAGGGTACCGACTTTCCCCCGAAAAAGAAAGACGCGAAAAAAAAAGAATCGAATTGAAGTTTTGAAGATGCATGTTGAATGAGCTCAGTCAAATGTCATTTGATATAATCTCTCAAGGTGCAAGGATCAATCCATCCTAGGCTATCTCAATGGTTGACTCCATGATGAAAGTATTTGGGTAACTTAGGCACGGAGGCTAAGCACTTCATACTTCGTGATGCAATAACTATTATGAGTGATGAGTGATGTGACAAGGCATGCTTCATCGTTATGTTAAGATTTCATGACAAAGGGTTCCTAAGGGAAGTATATTTGGTCATGTATGTGTGATGTGTGTGATAGAGATACTAAACTAAGGTCGCAAATGCTAAGTGTGTGGAAAAATATATTATTGAAAAGAGTCAAATGGTGGTGACTCATAGGCTAGGTAAGCTAATGATGTAGGGATCAAGCCCCCAAGTCTAACTGTAAGTGAATAGGGATGAGCATTGGAGATCCCTTGATATGATCATGGTGTAAGTGTGTGAATGTGAATATGAATGCATTTTTATTACGGCCGCACCTCGATGTGAGGTTGCCTACGTATCCGTTAGGAATCAGGCCGAACGTAGCTCTAGCCAAACCTCGCACAAGTGTGTGTATACCTCAAAAAGGTCTTTTAAGGGTTGTAACGTGGTTAGGCTAAAGGTTATAGAAGAAGAATGGGATAAAGGCTCAAGACCCTAGATAAGCCCCCAGGGTGTGCAACTTCGCTTTTGAATCTTTGTATTTTAATGCTTGAATTTCTATTCTTTTTTAGCTCTTTTTGCTTTAGCATTTATTTTACTTTTGCAACTGTGGGCAATCCCGATCATGCGGTCTATCACTCACTTGGCATTCATGTTTCTCAGGCACGGTACCGAGCATTCGATAAGAGACGCAATTTGAGACGTGTTCTTATCGAAGATATTTTCATATCAAAGACATTGGAACACTTGCCCTTTTGTACACTTTTATTTATTTATTTTTTGCTTATTTTTGCTATTTATTTTGATCTTTTGAAATCACTCAAGCTTTTTAGAATTGCATAAGTTGCACACCATCCCATCCCAAGGTTAGACAGATGTAGGTTGAAAAAAGAAGGG